TAGCCTTTGAGCTCGATGCCTCAGTGTTTGGAGCAGTGTTGAATAGATGAGGATCGTGGCGTTTGTTGCATTTGTCTCCATACCGACACTTGCCCTTGGCCCAATGCCAGCATGGCTCATCAATCTTCTTGGTCTTGTTTGCAGGAGATTGACTTCTTGGAGTTCCTGGCTTTCGACCGTTGCCTTTAGCATTCTTGTTTGCATCGAACACCTTTTGGTCGTGACTGTATTCGCAATCTTTGCCCTTTCTGCATGCTTTCTTGATGAAATGGAAATGGCACGGGATTTTCTTCTTGGATCTCGGACTGGCACTTCGGCTGTTTGCTCGATCCTTTCCTTTCCCTTGACCTTTTCCCTTCCCTTTTGCATGCTGCTTAGGCTGAGGAGATGGTAGAACCGGAGCTGCATCGGCCTTGGCCTTCGCCTTGGGTGCTGCCTTCTCCTTGGGAGTAGCCTTAGGCTTTGCTTTCGGGTTCGCATCCGGTGCAGCAGCAGTCGGATTTGGCGCAGGAGCTGAAGGTTTGCCGCCACCTGCAAAATCTCTTGCATACTTTTCTCTAGCGGCTACATGCTTGTCCTCTCTAATTCTGGAGATATGTCTTTCGATGACGTCCAAGAGATAGCGATAGCTTCGTCTTTGGTCTCCCTCCATCCATGACTCGTACTGCTTGATGTCGAACATCATAAGGCTCGAATTTCGAATCTTCTTGTATAAAGCATCACGAAGCCAATCATCAGGAGGTACATCATCCGGCATCATGTTAGATACCATCTCCATCCATTTCTCGTAGAACACTTCCAGGTTTGAGTCACCGAGATACTTCATCGATACGATGTGCTCCATAGTGAAGGCTGTCTCTCGTTGACCTGGAGTTCTGAAGTGCTCCAAGATCATAGCCAAGATTTCCCGTCCCATGACATAGGTTCCTCTTCGACTATGACTTTGTGTCCTCAATCTCAGTTTGATCGCTACGTGACGAGCAACATCACCGGCTTGGGCTATCACGTTTGACAATGCGATCGACAACTTGGCGTCTATTGACTGGTATCGTTGCCCTCCACTGTCATTCAATAGCTCGATATCGGGATTTGGTCGAATAGCCGGTTGTAACCATGCTTCCCATGCGGCTTTGTCCCCATCATTGGCAGCAAGAACGACACTCTTAATGAGATCTGATTGCCAGACCCCAAGATTCTGCTGTTTCGGCCATGGGCTAACATAGACCTTGTCAGCCTCCCGTCGTGACATTCTTGGCGCTTCTTCCGCCGTGTAAGCTGCAGTGGAGACATCATCTGCTGAATCACGTTGTGATCCTCGAACTGAAGGCAATCCCGGAGGTTCAGGAGGTGGTCCTGGACCGTTGGGCCCGAAAGGGTCAGGAGGTCCATCAGGGTCAGGCGGACCGCCCCATCCACTCGGTGGTTTGTAGTAGTCCCTCTCAGTTCCGTCAGCGATCCTATTGTCGACTTCTCTCAACAAATCAGTGATTCTTTTGTTTGATTGAGAAGGTTGTCGTTGAGGATGTACAGCATGCTCGCGATAGGATTTGGCTACATTTGTTTCATGGTTCAATTCCTTGTCAATCTGCGAAACCCAAGACTTCAGAATAGCGTTTTCACAGTTAGCCTCACTCACGTCATTCTCCAATTTGTCGATGACTAGTCTTGATGCGAGATCGTAGTTGGGAATGCCTGCAGAATAGGAAAGCGTGTCAGGGTTGACCCTTGACATGGACATTTCAGAATCCTTGAGACTCTTCCTCATTTCATCTACTTGACGTTTCATGTCCATAATCTCAGAATTCTTAATACCGATCTTTTCATCCCTATCCTGGATTTCCCCCATGAATATGCATGATCTCTCATATTGTTGAACACCACTAGCCAATACCATTTTGCGCTCATTCTCTAGTTCAGATTTCAGAGTTCGGACCTCGGTATTGGTGAGGGACGGCGCCCCTACATCCGCAACTTCAGTCAATCTCTCCTTTAACAATAGGTTCTCTTGTAAACATTCATGAATTTCATGGTCTAGGTCCTGAACCCTGATTTGAGCGATCTTAGCCTGATTACGCAGATCTTCGACAAGCATCTCATCGGGGCCACGACCGTCGGTCGTAGAACCCTGAGTCAGCGATCTCCGTAACTTCGCGTTCTGCAACTTGATCTCATCCTTCAGTTCGCAGTTCATCTTCTGCTCGTTCGCATAGAGCTCCTCATAATGCTCTGCCTTTGCGATCGAGTTTGTGCTAGCCTGTGATTCAAGCCTCAGGTGTGATATTGCTTCGGCCTCTTGGTTCCTGTATGATGCAATTCTTCTGACGGTATCATGTTCGGTATTCCGATGCTTCAGGTCACTTTCCAACTTGGCCTGATTTGCCTCGAACACCTTCTTCCTAGATTCTCTAGTGATCTCATCAATACTGCTCTCATACAGCTCGGCCTGTTTACGAGACTGAATCAAGGCTTCACTCAATAGTTGATTTCGCTCAGACAATTCATGAACTGCAATTGACTGTTGTTGGCTAATCACTTCAAGTTGATTGCTAGAGAAGGATGCCATCTCGGATCGATTCCGATATTCCATGATTGAATTCTGGAAATCTGTTTGCATCTCCTGACCTTCATTGTATAGTCGATTGGCAATATCGGTGGTTAAGACGTTGGTCTGATGAAGTTGTTGAAGTCTTGCCTCCGTATTACCCAGTAGTCCTTGAAGGTGATGTACTTCATCCTTGTACTCTTCCTGGATCTCCATGCCACGTTGATGGATCCGTCGTGCGCCATGTTCCATTAGGGCACCTCGGCGTTCAAGGTCTTGGATGCGCATTGTTGCACCTTCATCTTCCTGAGATGCTACCATTAGTTCTGCTTGATATTCTGCAACCTCATTTGCGGAACATAACAATCTGTTATTGAGTGCATTGACCTCATCAAGTACATTCTGGTTGTGTTCCCGAAGATATTCAGTGAATCTGATCTCGATGTCATGAATCAGTTGATCTCTAGATGCAGCGTATGCTTCCATGTTGTTCAGCTGATTACGTAGGGATTGACATTGTGCCCGTAGTTCCTCTATCATGGCAATAGGTTCACTAGCCACAGAAGTATCTGTTGATCTCCTCTTAACACGACTATCCCCGGTCCTCTCACCAATTCGGTCGGTCACGGCCCTGGTGGATCTGTCCCTTGGAGTAGTTCGTCCTCGAGATGGTCGATGCCCTTGACGGACAACATCACTCCGAGCACTGTTTCGAGAAGATCTAGGTGTACTTTGAGTGGATATTCTTCGCCTGTTTGATGTGACTTGCCATCCGGACTGTGTAGTTCGGGTAGAGCGTATCCCGCCACTGTCTGCCGTGTCACCAGGGGAAGATTGATTGACCTCTTCGACCGGCATAGCGGCGTTCTCATTGAAGGTAAACTGCGTGGTGCGCGAGTCTCCGCTGCCGCCTTGCATCTTTGCGACGATGAGCTGATTGGTCCTTTGCGTCCTCAATCAATTGCTCAGACGGCCCGGCTACCAGCACGCAGGCACCACTCTCCCGGCGGGAGAAGTGAGCTCTACGGCTGATAACCTGTGAACAAATGAATCCTTGTTCTGGATATCTCTGATTGGTGGTACCTTAGTGCTGGGACAGCCGAACCTAACGAAGCATTGCGAGCATCACGCGGTTATTTTCCTCTCAGCGGGCGCTTGAGCCACAATGGGCGTCCATTATGAAGTGCAATGTCCATATCATATATGCACCTAGCGCCTGGTTCCCTTTGACAATATATATATATATATATTGGATTGCACAAATGGTGGATTTTCCATTTGGAAATGCACGATCACCTGAAACAAAGCCATGATAATGGGAGTATCATGGGGACTGGAAAACCAACTAATCCGAAATGTCATTCCATGAAATACTGGTTGGTGAAGAACGGGATTCCCAGCTCATGGATTTTGACATAAGAGCAGTACAATCGGAACTGGGTTCCGCAAGTTCGACATAGCTCAAACCAACTTCACGATGAAAGCACCGATTCTTTTGAACTTTTGTACATGTTTGCTCTAACTATAGTAGATATTTCTTAATATTCCTCATGTTTCGTGATAGAAGCATAAGTGCACTTAAGTGCACATGACGCGAACATCATCCTGAGACACGAAAACCAGTTGTCTGCCACTTAGCTTTATACCAAAAAATGCCATCCGTGTGGAAAACTTGTCATCCCAAAGCTGTTTGAAGCCCATCTGTTTTTTTGCCACTGAACCATTGTTTCTGAGGGGACTGCTTGGGTTGCAACTTGGGTTTAATGGATATAAAAATAAACCCATTATAGTTGTGGCGATAGACCCACACATTGAGTAACTGGAACAGCATCTTTGTGCGTCAGTGGTCAACTGAGATCCGTTGATTAATCATAATCCATCATCATCCCATAAATTAGATTCAAGATCCCAGAGCCATAGTATTATCCCATTACAGTAGACTCTGGTACTTTCGGTAAAAAAACACGCGTTATAACACCAAAAACACCGTTAAGTACTATGCAGTGCTATGATTATTATTACACTTTAACCTACCTTGTATCTAACTATTGTGAGCTGGTTAACATAACTATCATTATCATTCATTCTCACCATTATAACAGCCATAACACTTCAAAACCCGGGTAGATTCTGACGATTATGGTTACATGAACCTCATCAAACCCACCTTGTCCCATGGTGATGAATAATGATTATGGCATCATGAAGTCTTATAGATATCTATAGATTGATGATGATTATGAATGATTATGGCATACTATGCCTCTAAAATCCCCTGAAACCCACCATGAAACACTATAGATATTAGATATCTTTTGATTATGGCCATCAAAAATTCCTCAACTTCCACCTTTTTCCAGTCTTTCTCCACATTTTTATCATCAATTTTCCAAACACCTAAATTGTTGACCCAAAATTCTCCACCTTTCTGGGATCCCACCGGGCGCCACCGGGCGTCATTTCGCCCGTCCGCATGGGGCTCTCGGGGAAGTGCCGAATCAGCACCGCCTCGATGTTCTGCCGCAGCGCCGCCACGAAGTCCGTCATCTCCTGCAGCTCGGCAGCGCCTCAGTGGCACGGCCGTGGGCGCCACGCCGTGGCGCGGTGGCCGTGGGAACCCCCATTGAACCTGGGGAAATAGCGATGGAAATACCATGGAAATGCGGGTAAAATGGGGGAAAAGACCTAAGGACATGCGAAAGAAATGGAACTTGAAGTCAGTGCGGAGATTTCTTGGGGATTGATATGGAATGATATGGATTGATATACTAGAGAGCATGTGCGAAATGGATTCTAAGTGGCTTCTAAGGGCCCCTTACCATTGAAATGTTGCAAGGGATATGTAGGCTATTTCCGAAGCAGTGACTCAATTTACGGATACCCCCAGCGGTCGGTGGGAAAGTCAACATGACATGTACCCTTTCCCTCCCAGAAATTGGGAGATTCAATCCGAAGCGGAAGGTATTTCCGACCATGGCAGTAGCATATGCCAATGCAGGAAATTGGTTGCTTAAGGAAGGAATTGCATCATTCACATGCAGTAACCAATCCCACAAAGAGTTTGGGAAGACCCTGCTGCGGTGTTTGCCTATGATGCAAAAGAAAAGCAGGAGTCCACCATATCAAAGTTGTAGGCAGAAACACACATCCTACGCGCCAGAAACTAGTGCCCGATGCGGCAGCACATTCCGAAGTTGATTGAAAAAAAGTTGATGTCTGGTGTTTAGCTTGAAATGCCACCGATCTGCAATGATCTGCAGCAATTGCTAAGTTATGAGGGAGAAACCAGACGATTCACAGCCCCCCAGAGGACACATGATATCTTGTGGTGTTTTTTGGTGATCCCAAGTGATCCATAAGAATCAATCAAAACATATCTATTATGGGTGATCCATAAACAAAAAAACATAACATCCATGTCGAAGTGTAAGGGTGATCCATAAAGATCCATATAATAAATCATCCCAATCTACCCTCTGGTAATTTAACACTTCGCGACATTGAAAATTGTAGATATTTCGTGAGTTTTCCCATTACAAAATTGTGATTTTCCATAGTTTTTTGTTAGTAATTTAACATAGCTATTGAAAATTGCCATAGAAATAGTGAGTTTTCCCATTAAAAATGGTGATTTTTCCCATCAGTTTTTGGTTAACGTTTACCAGGTCGGGTATCCCAACCAATCCCATCTCCGGGTGAATCGCTGGGATCTGAAAAGTCACTGGGTTGACCTCCCAACTGTTTGCAAAGTGCCTCAGTTGACAAACCAGCTTTCGGAAACAGCTGAGGTTTGCGAAAGATCAGCAGTGTTGGCATTGAAGCCAGTACCAAAAACTCGATCCCAGTCTCTATGATTATAGTGTTAAACCTTACCCTCTGGTAAACTAACATGACTGGAACATCACCATTTTTCATGGGTAAATCAACTATAAATGGCCATTTTCAATAGCTATGTTAAATTACCAAAGGGTAGATATCATAGATATCCTAATATCACTTGAACTCAATGATTGTTATGAAATGTTATGAATCTATGATTGCTATAAAACTCAAAGATCAGATCACTTGAACTTTGGCAGGTCGGAGGATCGGATACCCAGCTTACTCCCATCATGGCATAGATTTGCCACGAATGATTCATTGTGATCCATAGGGTAACTGGTATGTCATTATACTGTGGATTCTGTGGTATGATTTTACCATATCATCCACAGTAAAATATTCAACTGTGGTAAAATATTGGATGATATCTGGATTCTGTGGATGATTGGGTAAATACCAATGTAAGTAAAAAAAAAAACAGTCCTGAAGCCAATCCATCTGAAGCCACGCTGTAATTTGGTGCGAAACGCCCTAGTGTTTGAGGCCTAGTATGGTCCATCAGCTGATTCTCAATCTATCGCGGTTGAACTTCCACCGTTTACATATATATATGATTATATATGTATGTATAACATACACATAACAAGAAGAGATAGGGAATATAAACGGGTAAAGAGATGGAAAGTCAGCCGAAGAATATGTAAGTAAGCATATACTTAAAATATAGTTACTTGATAGTTATATATATATATATAAATACCATAAATAGGTACTATCCTCTTTTTTCACATGGTATTTCTTCAACTACTAGTCAGCGCCAAGTTTCTTGTGCTTCAATACCTGGGCTCAGCGGAAAAGATGTTCGGAAAACCCATGGATTTTGTTCTCCAGATCTAAACGTTTGCAGGAGGGTACCGTACTTTCCCCGAAAAAAAATCAATACCCCCCTGGTTTAGTACTGTATTGGATCATATTGGATCTATTCATGTCATGTTAGAGTCAGAGTCCTATTTCAGGGAATCTAAGGGGAATGGCATTTATGAACTTCATCACTGCATCATACTATGCATCTGATCTCAATTTGAGGCCATGTTTCATGCTTTGCCAACATGAGGTCCTGAGAGGTGGCTGTATTTCATGGATGATTTCATGGGATCCTAGCTGCTAGCTGTAACCACAATGACCACACAGTCTAAGAACCCTTAAAAATACTGGACCATAAGTATCATACTGGCCAAGATCAATAGATCCAGAGTAGATCCAGTATATTCATCTATATCCACCATAGTTTCGGAGAGGGGACTCATATTCAAGATGGGGGAAGGGACTTGAAGCTGAAGCTGAACACATTTTGCCCAGCGACGATCTTCCTTGCGACTCTTCACAACAGTGCTCGCTTGGTCCTGCTCCACGAATTGCTCGTAGATCTCGGCGTCTTCAGGACGACGGTAGGCGGTGGAATAGTAGTACACCCAAGGATTCGTTTTGTCCTTGGCGCAAGGTGATTGATGACCATTTCTGTTCTGGCTGGTATGGGTCCAGGGATTGGTTTGCGGCTTGAGTTTGCGGGAAGAATGATAGGAAAACCCACTGTTTTTCAATCATAGCGGGGTGAAGACTTGTGAATGGTGTTGGGTTTATAGCGAAATATTCCGCAAATTCTCTTGTATATAGTAGCCAAGTTCCATGCAAACCACGCTACTTCCACCATCAAGTAGGACCAGCCAATTCTATCAACAACAACCCACAATTAATTTATATAGTAGTTTAATGTAATCCACTAATTGGTAGGAACATGCGTCGCAAGATCAACCATGGCAACAAAAGATTCCACACGTGGTGCATCCCAATCAGAATGGTGCCAATCTTCAAAAACCCACAGCCATATGCCCAAACAGAAGTGGTGAGATTCCAAATATAGCTTTAGTGGTTGATAAGTTATAAGACGTTACCATCTAGTTATTCAACATAGCCATGGAAAATCACCAGTTGTAATAGGTAAAGCATCTACAAATTGGGCCATTTTCCATGGCAATGTTAAATAACCGAGGGTAGAAAATTGTTGTTACCCTCTGGTAAACTAACATAGCTATGGAAAATGACAATTTTTACTAAGTAAATCATAGTAAATCAACTATAAATGTGCCATTTTCAATAGCTATGTTAAATTACCAGAGGGTAAATAACATTTACCAACTGTTCAACTGTGTCCCACTGATCCACCCTGGCTTCGCAAAATCACCGCTCGCTCGTCAGCCCAGAGTCCGTTGGGAAGTACCTCGGGCGAAGTCGCGCGTTTCGGGGGGAAGTCGCGCCAGGCGTGTTTTCTGGGTTTCCGGAACGAGTTCAGCACGTGATGGGAGTTTATCACAAACCCTATGAATTGTCTGAATTGCATCATGGATTATACTGATATTACTAATTCAACTACTATTTCATTGTAAGAATACACCAATCAACATATACCCATGATAATCATAAGATATTATAAGTGTGGAAGGGTGCATTATATCACATAATTCCACATTCCTACTGGATTGACCATGTTCCTTTTTTTCACATCGCCAAATATCAATTAATGGATCCATCCTTCTAACCGTTGGCCGCGGGATCATCCGGGCATATCCGGTCCCAGTTGCATCACTTTTCCCCCCTGGTAGTATTCCTGCAGAAATCTCGAAAAGCGAAGATCGCAGAAAGGATGGAGCAAGGTCTGGTCGTTACACATCTCCAGAAACACTCCCAAGCTGCTCGCAGGACATGCAAAATCAAAGAACTCCTGCGAAAACGAAGACTCTGCAGCTTCCAGCCCAACAAAAAATGTCCCGAAAAACCCCACGGCGAGAGAAGTCGGACAACGCCTCCAAAGAAGGAAGGTGGTGATTTCCTGGGTTTCTTCTACAAAAATTCTACAAGGAAGCCCTGCCAAGGTCGCTTTGAGGTGTGCGACAAAGGAATATTGGTAGCATGGCCAATCCTAAAAAATACCCCCCATGTATCTTAAAACGATTTAGTATGAATAGTATAGAATACCCCCCGGAAAAGATCGACAACCACACTAGTAGTTTACCCTCTGGTAAACTAACATATAGCTATGTAAAGTCACCATCTTTAATAGGTAAATCAACTACAAATTATAAATGTGCCATTTTCTATAGCTATGTTAAGTTACAAGAGGGTACTGCTATTTAACGCCCGGAAGTCACTATTTTCCATGCCGTCCTCCTCTTGATGTACTCCTCCACAGTGCATGGCATCACCTTTCCTAAGGTGAGCTGGAGGCGGATACGCGCTGAGAAAAGGGGACATGTTTGGCGATTTAATGAAATATGAATGGGAAATCCCCGATCAATGGAGGCTTTATACACCTACAGTTAATGGACTATTCATGGCATATTATTGTGATATACCCCCTGGTAAATTAACATAGACCCTGAAAATCACCAGTTTTTAATGGAAACTAATCTTCCAACCCCTAGCTGGCAGGGTCTATGTTAATTTACCAGAGGGTAATTTATAGTTGATATGAATGACATATATATATATATATTAGAGATATACCCGCCGGTGTCATCAGCTCCGTGGCAAGCGGGGAAATCCATGAACTACATCATGAAATAAATGGAGGTATGATTGGCTCGGAAAGCCATCTATAAAGATGGTGATTTTCCATTGCTATGTTTGATTACCAGACGGTAGAGACTTGGCAGCTTTCTTGGATCAGTTGCATCCACATTCTCCTGCAGTTACTACACTGGGACGGCGGGACGGCTCGGCAAAGTGCTACAACCTGTTGGAAATCCTGGTTTCGAATGCTCGTATTTCACCAAAATACCTTGTCAACTACCACATTTACCATCTGGTAAACTAACATAGCTATTGAAAATGGGTCATTTCTAGTTGATTTACCCATGAAAAATGGTGATTTTCCATAGTTTCTTGTATGTTTACCAGAGGGTAAGGGTGGGACCCTTGGTCATCCAATTTGAGCAGAATCAGCCAACCCCAACCAGCTGGATTCAGCCAGTATCTCGCTCCACGTCCGGCTGCCAAGCGACAAAATGTCCCCACTTACAGCAAAAGGTGTGTCAGTACTAGTACCAAAGCACTATCAGGACCCACCAGTTGGTTTATCATGGTTTATCCCTCTTCACGGCTAGATCATCCCCATATGTTGACAGCTACTTCAATGAACCATCTCTCAAAACCCCAATTCTTCATATTCAAAAAAAACACATTGTTCAATTTCAACAGGTTTCTGACTTCCCCCCCCAAAAAATGCTATATAAACAGGTTTAGTTTAACCTTCCCCCAATTTTGCCAAACAAAAATATATTTAAACATGTGTTTAACCGTTACAACACCTTAAAAAAAAAACAATTTCTTCCTCCAAAAAAATACGAAACAAACACCAAAAAAACGACGTCGGCACATGGCATTCGTCCCCGCCATTCCAAGGCTCAACAGCTGCTGTTGAACCTCTTTGGGTGTCATGGCCACCTTCCTGGGATCCTTGGGGCGCACCTTGTGGGTGGCGCAGACCTCGGAGCTCCGATGGAGCTGCGCATGTCGGCGCTCAAAAAGTCTCTGTCCGAAAAGGTTTTGGTTGAAGAAATCCTGGTGAAACACACTTTTACATGTGAAAAACACAAGTTCTAGCAGTTCTAGACGCTGGTGAATTAGACTATGTAAACCACTTTAGCTCGAAAAAACAACGAGTAATATAAAACACGTGTCAAATAATATCGACAAATTGAAGGGTCTTTCTAGCTTTCGACCCATACAGTAGCCTGGTTGGAAACGGCCATAGCGGTAGATATGGGTGCCAGGGCCATGGGTAAAGAGTCAAGGCCCATGTTTGACCTTAGGATTGATATGGATGATCCCATGTTTTCTGATTGTTTAGAGTTTAGGGCTAAAATCTACCCTCTGGTAAATTAACAGTTGGACCCTGAAAATAGCCTGGTTTTAATGGACACGAAAAATCTTCCAACCCATATCAGGGTCGAACTGTTAATTTACCAGAGGGTAACTCATGCCCTGTGTCAAAATCAATCAGGTCATCCAATTTGTTGACGATTCAAATCCATTATAAGAGGTTGCTGCTCGCTGCACAGCCATCTGCACAAGTGGTGACCATATGCCCAGGATAAGGACATCTACGCTACCAAGTGCCATGATCTGAACACATGGACCCAGGCCCCGCTGCACAAACCCCAGCTTCGACCCACCAGGCAGGAAGCTCCACAATCACAAGCATGCCTTTACTTCATGAGACCCAAAAACAAATCAATCAAAAACAGTAGACCCAGATGAATTATCAACAACCAATACTAAACTTCTAAACAACTATTTTTGACAAATGGTCATATAAGCCCTAAAGAATTATGTTTCTTGGTGTAGTTTCAGTCCATCAACTTGTTCGAGATATTTACCATAAAGCCAATTAAGTCAACCTGGTTAGTTCAACCAACCTAGCATAAATCAACTATAAATTCCACTTGTCGGATAAATCCGATTTTGTGAGGTGGATCAAAAATGATCAACACGTATATGTTCCATGATTTTCCTATGGTTTCCTATATACAGTATTCCTTTTCCTAGACTTCTCCTACGTTTTCCCCAGCGTTCACGGCTTCACCGCTGAGCCACCGCAGTGACTCCAGGCACACGGCCGTGTTGGTCGATGATGATGCCGTACAAACGGAGCCGCTCGGGGCCCCAGAGGTCGTCGTCATCGGAGAAGAGGAGCCTCTGGCCCCCCGGAGTGATGTAGGCATGTGGGGTTGGTTGGTGTCGCCCATAGAAACTATATATATATATAAATGTATACATTATATACACCTACTATAGTAATAACAGTTATAGTAAGTATGTAGCTCTATATAGTTAGCTATGTTAGTGATTTACAAGCATAATCAACCATAGTTATTGGAGGTTTGTTCACCAACTTAGCTAAAAAACTTGTGGGGAAAGATATGAAACAAACAAAATCTACATGTTATTCTGTGACATCATTGTCGAATGAGTCTAATGGTCCATCAACATGTTATCACATTTTTGTTGGGGGATGAGGTAGTCATAAATGATTAGAATGATAACCCAAAACGGTTGTTTTAATGAGAAAATTGATGATGGTATCCAGTACATCCAGTACTTAGACAAACCTGCTCATATTGGGTTTATCAGAACATTGGAAACCCAAATCCTGTTTAGAAAGTCATGTTCCTTATTGAGAATATCAAGATATCGCAATTCTGGAGTTTCCCCACTGTTCAAACAACGTCATATCTATGTGGGAGGTACACAGTGCACTGCTATACCGGTGTTTTTGTCATTTTCGGGGAACTTATGGGAACCTATTCCAAGGACCAAAGGTCCTACGATCTCCATTGAATAACTACACAACCAAAAAATGTGTGCATACATCTGACAAAGAATGAGACTAAGCATGATTTTCCTGGGGACAAAGATCAAAATCGGAATTTGCCAAGACCAGCACTTGAAGGATAGTTTTTGCCCTCGTGGGTGATTTCAATCTCTAATATGCTGGATCCTTCGATATATCTTCAGCAGAGATGGACAAGAAGACGCAGGTATCGAACCACGCAAAAGAAAAAAAAGATGGCACTGAACCCTTGAAAACACAGCGACGCGGAATTGAGAATGGAAGATCCAAACAACATTTCGAAGTCCTCGAAACAATACGAAACATGTTGCCAGATCGTTCGTAGAACATGTTTCACTACCCATGATCGTATCTGACGATAATCTCACCCAACAAAACGCAGAAAAAATCCAACCGAAATCATCGGATGTTGCTGGAATTTGGCACACATGTCCACTTTTGCTCAAGAAACCAGGTATTGTCTGGCTCTTTGGAGATGTACTCCTAGCGCTGCGGGATCATTATGATCATTCTCCAGGCATCCAGCCCTTGATTCTCACCGAAAAATTGCAGTGGGTCAAACACGAGAAAAACAGTGTCAATTTCTAGTGGTAGCCATCCATTTCGATGTTTTTGGGGTACACTGACATATATAATACATATGTAGTTGGCCATGTAGTTTGCTAAAAAGTGTTGGGTTTATGGTGGATAGAAAAACTTAGCATGGCATCATGGGTTTATAAACTAACAAACATCACTGGGGGGGCCTCACCTTGTATATACCAATTGATGGTGTTACTGATTACTGATTATTATGGGTTTATGACCTTATATTAGCATATATGGGTATGGATCGATACCTATTAATACAATTTTTAGGGGAATGAACATCCATTTACCAGCTATTTTGATGTTCACCAGGGGTACAAGGTTTTGACACACTGCCATATTAGCTAGTTCATGGGTTTATGACCTAATTCTTAACCACCAACTTCTCCTGATAGAGCCATCTGATGTCGTAGAACTGCGATGTACGTTTCTGCTGCCGCAAGCAATGGAAGCTGCTCGGACTGAGTCGCTCCTGGTATTCATCTTGGTGGTGGTTGATAAGCCACCAGATGAACAAATGAATTCCTAAACCCCGAAATAGACACTTTAATCATCTATAATACCTTTCCATACTCCAATTTCCTGTAGAAGTGACCAAAGTTATGGCTCCGGCATCCCAATTCTGATCTGACTTCAGCTGCATCTTGGATGGTCAACTTTGAACAGCTGGAAAATGCTCATTTCGCAACTGAGCATTCAACAGAATGTAAAAAAATATTAAAAATTGGATCACCAGGTGAAACCATCGTAATTAAAACCATTCAAAACCTAAATGTTCTGGATGATAGGACCAAAGTACATCAAATTACATGATTTTTCCATATGCCATCTGGTTTCTTGGGTAAGTTCCCAAGTTTCTGGCGGTTCAAAATCCCAGCTCGGTTGGTGAACAATTGCCATTTTGGCTCCTTGAAGGACAGCAACAGGGCCTCTACCTCTGCGACCAAGGACTCGGGTGAGGACCACACCTCGCAAATCAGTCGCTGGAACTATCATGGTAATACACAAACTGAGAAAACTCATGAAAAAAACATAGAAACAATTGGAAACACATTGATTTTGTTGAATTGAGTACACACACATTATGGTCCAAATTCATGTCACTTCCAGGGTTGCTTACGGTTGCTTCAGATATGAGACGTATGGTGGATACCCAGCGGTGAAACGTGAGGGGTTCATAGGATTTGATAGGATGGACACGTCCATTGGAATTGCAGCTCAGTGACCATGAAAAAGGCAGCAGGCTTCCTGACAAAGACATCTCTGGATGAGGTACTTCGATTGTTTGCATTGGTGTATGTATGCTGCTGGGTTGACCATGACTTGTCCATTTTTGGATCAACGCTTTCAAACAAACATAAAAAAAACAACAAGTGACAGGTGCGAGAGCACCAGTTGGTGGGATGGGTAGCCGGGTAGCAAGGAAATCCGCCATAGTCGCATGACAATGGAACATCCACCCCTTCACATTGTGGACGCAATACAAATCCATTCCCAACGATACCGTATCGATACCCTCCAAATTTCACAATGTTGGCCTCAACAAGCCAATCCCAAACCAACTTTGGCAGCCCCATGATGTTTCAAATCACTTTAAATCCACATTTCTGGTAACACTTGCTTTTCAATCCATTGAACTTGGGTCATTTTCCTAACACTTTCCCAACATTTTCCCCACATTTTCCAACATTTTCCCTACATTTTCCCACATTTTCCCAACATGTTCCCAACATTTTCTCAACATTTTCCCACATTTTCCCACATTTTCCCAACATTTTCCCAACATTTTCCCAACATTTTCCCAAGGTTCTGCGTCTGATCCAGCACCGACTCCAGGCATTGCCGCAGCCGTCTGAGACGTTTCGCGTCGCCCACGTGGCTCGACAGCACGCCGCAGAGCCGCAGCTCGCCGTTCAGCGGCGGCGGCACGGCCGCTGAACGGCGCGCGGAGTCACCGTAGCCCGGCATGGCGGGAATCCTGCTGGAAAGTGGTGATTATCTACCCAGTAATCAACCATTTTATAGATGGATTTTCCATGAAATCAACCATGGGTTTCAATACTAAAATGGTCTGATGATTTGGGACCCCCAAAAAGAATAGAAAGTTAGCTGTGAAATTTCATTAATAATTACTCTTAATTTCAGTGATTGACTGAATTCTATACTAGTATCCATCTGGTAAATCGAACAACATGTTTGAGGGGTCGACTGAAGTTGTTGATATACGTGGACTAACTTCTGGAAGTTGTTGCAGTCTTTAATTATGGACATTGTTTTTTGGGGCGTCCAAGGTCTTAAGGTGATACCTCCATTCAAGAACAGCTCTTGTGCCTGATTCTCAACATGTCGCAGGCGTGGTGCAGATCAATCTGGGAAGCAAATCCGAGAGTTGGGCCCAATATTATGTACAAACGCCAAACAGCAGGGAAAACGCTCGTTTAGACCCGGATTGTTTCTTCAATGAAAACAGATAGTCAATCACGCCAGCGTGGGATTTGATACCATTACCAAGGTTGACCAGACATGTGCTGGTGCTTGGCATGAAAGCTGAGGGTATAGGTCAAGTGGAGTCAAGCCTCAAGTTCTCCAAACAATACACCGTAAGGATCTGCTTCTGTAGGGGCCATCTAGGATTGGGCAGATCCATGTTTCAGCTACATGACAAAACTTGAGCCAAGTGCGCCAGAGTCAACATGTTTCAGGCGGTTGAAGATCCCAGGAGGCGTCCCTGACAACAGGAGTTGTGGCCAGCCTGATTGTTCCTTCAGTCAACACTGTGGGGGTCTATCTTTTGTCATCATCTAGACCTTGAACATGCAAGTTTGTGTTCATTTTTAAGTGCATTGTTCTGTTTCTCTGAACATCAGAACCACGCTGATTCTTTTTGGCAGATGTACAATGATGTCTACTGTTCTCCACAAACTGAAAATATATGAGCAGAGTCACCCAGATTCGCTCTGACATTTTGCCCTAGAGGAGTATGCTACTGCTTCGCTGGACCAAACTGATAGTATCTGATAGTCGCCCCAGAAACCCAGAGTGCTGCACTCCCTTACCATCTCAACTGGGAAACCGAGAAACTCATGCCACAGTCCATTTCGATCAATGATTTGGGTGTCTGAAAATAGGCTACCCAGAAACTTTCAAATCCAACGGTATATCATCATTGAATCATTGAGCTCATTGTCCCTCTAAAAAAATTGCAATGTTCGTCCATTTTCAGGGTTTTTCAAGCCATTCTCAGAGAAACCCATTTGGAGACCGCCAGTGTTATCTCACTTTTCACTTGTCGCATCTTTGGCGCAAAAAATGCTCAAGTTCTCATGTTTTTGTTTTTCTTGTTATGGAGCAGTAGCCTTTGTGAAAATGTGTTACAGCTTGCCATGAAAGCCATGGCCCATAGAAATAGATGATTTCTCTACAAGATGCTATTGAAAAAATGTGATTTTCGAGTTTGCAAACTGTGAAATTACCGGATCTCGCGGCTATCCTTTAAACCGACTGCATTCGACGATGTGTCAAGTGATATCAAGTGGTTGCCAAAATCCCAAAAAAATCAAACCCATTAGTCCCATGAGTCTAATGAGAACATGAGGCATGGGTTTTCCCCAAGCACTCGGGCGGCAGAGATGTCCATTGAAATTGGATCAGGTCAAGCTGGACGCGGCTGGAACGGCCCCGAAAGCTTTGGTTTCTGCCCAAAAGGGGTCACTTTGCTAGTTCAACTAATAACTTAGAGAAAAATGATGAAACATGCAGTTAAAAGATGTTAAAAGCACTGCAACTCTCCGGAACTGATGGACTCCACCCTAGTTTTCATGGGAATTGCGACTAGTCTTTCCAACGAATCAAAATTTCAACCTGACACCACCAAACTTGCTGCCGCGGAAAACCTGCGAGCAAACCTGAAAACCAGGTCTGCTGTCAGGCACTTTAAAACTATAGTTCAAAACCATTGTATTGCAACAAACTCTCTCGAAACCTCGAAACTGCATGTCTAGGAGCTGTCTGAGCTCGCGATAGCAACGAATCTCCTTGCAAATTGCATGGTTTCATGGAGTTTCTGTACACTTCCAGCACCTGCGTACGCAGGAGCCAACTTGGTTGTGACATCCATGGAGGATTTGAGCTTTGGTCAATCTTCTCAGCTACCAAACTACCTGTCATCCGCATACTTCTAAAAAGTGGGCATGTCTGAAAATCGGGTACTCCAAAAATCCAACCGTTTATGATCATTTCCCTTACAGTAGCAAAACGAACATGGCCATTTAGGAGCACCCCATTTTCAGACATGCTCCTTGCATCCTCCATTGGGTCCCACGTAAACTCAATAACTCAACTGGCTTTTACCGCCTGTGGCGGCAAACCCAAAATCTGCGGCAGCGTTGAGCGGCGCTTCTGCCGCAAATAGCTGTCCATTCCCAACTTCGCGGTGGCCACAGACGCCAGCGACGCATGCGAGGCCCGACGCTGAGCGTCGTCACGATCGGGGCGGAGGAGCAAAATGGGCCTTGGGGCCCACCATTTCAAGGTGATGACGGAAATTGACGGAAGGGTTGCTGGATATAACGCAGGAAAAATGACGGAAGGGTTGCTGGATATAACGCAGGAAAATTGAAGATTCGAAGACCTTGCTGATGTGGTGAACAGATAAAGCCACAAACTAAACACCAAAGAATATGTGTCAGAGCGGATATCATCCGTGATCCCAATAGTTCACTGGGCCCCTGGGCAATGACTTGAGAGTGGACAACCCGGCAGCACGTTTATTTGAGATGGGCCACCCACCATCATAATGATCGTGATGATGCCCAATCCAAGATACTCTTAAAAAAAAACACGTCAAACATAGCTGGTACATCTAGTTTCCTTCTGGCCACACATAAAACATCATAAAACGTAATTAAACATTGATATAAAATAATAATAATATAATACATAAACATCACCAACCTATACCAACCTAATCAAAATCTAACCACCTTAAGGTTCACTCAGATTCCCCCAGTTCACTGCCCCGGACATGCAAAAAGGCACCCCACGGGCCCCATGGGCGTTGCACTTTCCTCGATCCGAGGCCAAAAGCCAACCGGCTCCAGCAGTCGTCGACGCAGTTCCGCACCCTGACCTAAGCCGAGATATGGAAGCCATATGGGCCAGATGGTTTACCCAAAATGGTGTTGTTCCACATCATTCCACATCTATGTTGGTTCATGACATTATTCTTAGTTACTATTGGTTAGACTACAGTTGTCTAACACTCTGATGGTCAACAACTGTATTGCTTAGATGGTGAAACAACAGCAGAAAGTCTCAGTTAAATGGTGGTTTAAGCAACAACACACTTCACGAACACAGTCATGGTATTTTGTCAAGCAACCAGCATGTCCAGCAATTCATGTGGATTTCACTGTCCAAGAATAGGCTGGGTTAATCAACAACATGGTGCTTTTGAGCAATGACCATCATGGCGAATGCCAGAGACCCAGCAAGAAAATGCTTATCTTTGGCTGGGCAATACTGCAGAGTAATACTCCATAATAATTACTCCTCCATTTTGGGCTACCAAACCAAAATGTTATCCAGTAAACATCACCTTATAAGCACTATTCAAGAATATCTCAAGCATCTCAATCTATAGCCATGCAGCCGTGCAGTACCGTAGATGGACGAAATATTCAAACCCTGTCTATCACACCCCAGGGGACGAAAGAAATCAACCCCCCTGGCCATCACTTCTGCGTGTTCCGCGCGCTGAAACATTGAGATTTGGGGTGCGGGGCTTCAGCATAGTATGTGTGTTCCAGGGTTTGAATATTTTATCATATTATTAGTTGCCAATAAAAATATTAGTTCTATTATAAAATATATTAGTTCTACAGGACCGTGGCCAATAAATATCATAACCTCGGCAGGATCACACTATTTTCATGATGATCTTCAAACAGCCGAATGACATCCTGGGATTTTCCAGGTAAACAATCGCAGCACATAAAAGGAGCATTTGGAGGAGGTCTCATGGAGGTCTCATAAAATGAGGTATTCCCAAAAAAAGAAAAGGTACAATGTGAGGCCCCCAAGATAGCTAAGTTGGTTTATAAGCCCCAGTAACTATAGTTATAAGTTAAAAGTACCATAAACCATAGTGAAATTGGAGTTATCAACCAACTTAGCTATCGAACGGGGGCCTCACATTGTAACTTATATACATATATATATATATACATACAATGGGCTGGTTTGAAAATGAGGTGGGCTCCCATTCCAATACCATCGGATGATTTGGGATCATCCCATGGGATGGCCCAGGCACCAGGGCAGTGAAGGCACATGGCCATAACTTCCCACTCTTCAGGGCCCAAGCCTGGTGTCAGGGGGAATATCCCACAGGAAAACACCACAAAAACCCAACTCAATGGGTATCTTATGTTTTTTTTTATGGGAAAAACAATGAACATCATCGAGCTGACTGGTGGATTAATCAATGAAAATCATCGAACTAAATTTTAAAATGGTGAATTCTCCGGCAAGCCATGCTTGATTACTTGAGGGTACTAAAAGACAAACAAGAACTATGTTTAATGATATTTGATATACATATATACATATATATATATATATATGGAAATGCATCAAATAGAAACACATGTGGTAAACATAGCTTCATGACTTGAAGGTGATCGAAACAATCTTGCGCTCCCAAGAAGTCGCGGATGCCGCTTTCGAACGCGCCAATCAGTGACAGGATCCCAAGTTGGGATGATATTTTAGCGCGACTCGCGGATGCAAACGGAATCTGTCACATATACCCTATGGTAATTTAGCGTAGCTATTGAAAATGGCCATAGAAATAGTGGATTTTCCCATTACAAATGGTGATTTTCCATCGTTATGTTAGTTTATCAGAGGGTATGTCACATATTTCCATCACAGAAACACAAAAACGGTTGATGTTGACCTTGAATGACCTTGAGGGATGTCCGATTATGAATGATGAGAATCCACAATCAGCTGCATAGGGTCCAAATTTGCACAAAGCCCTACAATCATCGGTCAACCAGAAGTCATCAACTACACCGAAACATGCAAAACCATGTTAAAACATGTTAAAACTGTAATGGTTCAAGTCAACAAACAAACATCAACCATCAGGGTGTCTTGCAGCGATGCTTCATTTGGGCCAAGCAACTTTTCAAGTTCCACTCCATATCAGCTGCCGGTGCGTCTTGACCATATCCACCTGCCGATTATTCAACTTCCACTGGAATCACCAGTGTTTGCTGCACAAAAATACATGTTTTCGCCGCTGATATTTCTGGGAGGGGTAAATGCACATGGGCTATCTCCATGCTACGTGTCCACATGTTTGAAACATGGGAGACCAGCCCAGCACTGAGCCAATGGTAAATTCACACCCATCTTAAAATCCACATCTTGGGTGGATACACTCAATAAATTCAACATACTACCTATGGCATTTTATGATTATTTCTGGCATTTCTACATCCGCTATATCATGCTATATCCAAGCTATCCAAGAAAATCATCCAAGATACTTAGCTATGAACATCTAGTACATGCTATGATCCATATCCTCAATAGATCTCAAAAGTAATTATCCTATTATCCATAATATATGTTGAGGATACTTATCAATCTTATCAATATCCATATCATTCCATATCCATATCCTCAATAGTACTTGAAGTATCCATATCCAAGTGATCATTAAAAACTATATTGAAGATTATTGAAGTATGATATTATCCATATCATTCCATATAAGTGATACTTATCATACTTATCAATAACCATATCCAAGTGCTATAGTGATAAGTATCCAAGTGATATCCATATCCAAGTGATCATTAAAAACTATATTGAAGTATGAAATTATCCATATCATTCCATATAAGTGATACTTATCAATATCCATATCCAAGTACTATAGTGATAAGTATCCAAGTGATATCCATATCCAAGTGATCATTAAAAAACTATATTGAAGTATGATATGATCCATATCATTCCATATAATTGATACTTATCAATATCCATATCCAAGTACTATAGTGATAAGTATCCAAGTGATATCCATATCCAAGTGATCATTAAAAACTATATTGAAGTATGATATGATCCATATCATTCCATATAAGTGATACTTATCAATATCCATATCCAAGTACTATAGTGATAAGTATCCAAGTGATATCCATATCCAAGTGATCATTAAACACTATATTGAAGTATGATATTATCCATATCATTCCATATAAGTGATACTTATCAATATCCATGTCCAAGTACTATAGTGATAAGTATCCAAGTGATATCCATATCCAAGTGATCATTAAAAACTATATTGAAGTATGAAATTATCCATATCATTCCATATAAGTGATACTTATCAATATCCATATCCAAGTACTATAGTGATAAGTATCCAAGTGATATCCATATCCAAGTGATCATTAAAAACTATATTGAAGTATGATATGATCCATATCATTCCATATAAGTGATACTTTCAATATCCATACCAAGTACTTATGATAAGTATCCAAGTGATATCCAATCCAAGTGATCATTAAAAACTATATTGAAGTATGAATGATCCATATCATTCCCATAAGTGATATTATCCATATCCAAGTACATAGTGATAAGTATCAAGTGATATCCATATCCAAGTGATCATTAAAAACTATATCTGTGATACTTATCAATATCCATATCCAAGTACTATAGTGATAAGTATCCAAGTGATATCCATATCCAAGTGATCATTAAAAACTATATTGAAGTATGATATTATCCATATCATTCCATATAAGTGATACTTATCAATATCCATCTCCAAGTACTATAGTGATAAGTATCCAAGTGATATCCATATCCAAGTGATCATTAAAAACTATATTGAAGTATGAAATTATCCATATCATTCCATATAAGTGATACTTATCAATATCCATATCCAAGTACTATAGTGATAAGTATCCAAGTGATATCCATATCCAAGTGATCATTAAAAACTATATTGAAGTATGAAATTATCCATATCATTCCATAAAGTGATACTTATCAATATCCATATCCAAGTACTATAGTGATAAGTATCCAAGTGATATCAATATCCAAGTGATCATAAAAACATATTGAAGTATGAAATTATCCAAATCATCCATTAAGTGATACTTATCAATATCCATATCCAAGTACTATAGTGATAAGTATCCAAGTGATATCCATATCCAAGTGATCATTAAAAACTATATTGAAGTATGAAATTATCCATATAATTCCATATAAGTGATATTATCAATATCCATATCCAAGTACTATAGTCCGTATACAGTGATCATTATAGTGATATCCATGTGATACTTATAGTACTATAGTGATAAGTATCAAGTTGATATCCATATCCAAGTGATCATTAAAAACTATTATTGAAGATATGAAATTCTCCATATCATTCCATATAAGTGATACTTATCAATATCCATATCCAAGTACTATAGTGATAAGTATCCAAGTGATATCCATATCCAAGTGATCATTAAAAACTATATGAAGTATGAAATTATCCATATCATTCATATAAGTGATACTTATCAATATCCATATCCAAGTACTAAGTGTAAGTATCCAAGTGATACCATATCCAAGTGATCATTAAAAACTATATTGAAGTATGATATTATCCATATCATTCCATATAAGTGATACTTATCAATATGGGTATGTGTCAAAACCCCTGGTCCCCGGTGGATATGCGGCAGCCTTCTGTTCAATAGGGTATTGAACGGGGGTATTGAACGGGAGGTATTGAACGGGGGGATAACGGGGGGTATTGAACGGAGGGCATTTCCTAAACAAACATCCCACGTGACCAATGGATCGAAGTTGACATTTGTGCGTGTGCGTGTGCCTGTGTGTGTGTGGTGTGTGTGGGTGGCACGGGCGCTTGTGTATGTGAAACTGTCCGAATCAAAGGCTTCATACTAGTGCTCTTGAAGCATCTGCAAGGTGCTTAGCGTTTCACTGGGAATGTGTCCAGCGAGGATTTCATTGAAGTGGAGATCCAGCATGACTAGCTGGGCAACGGAGCTGGAAAGCCTATAGTGAGGTATTGAACGGGTATTGAACGGGGTATTGAACGAACTACCTCAAAAAACCGGTAGCCGAACCGGTTATCAAAAAACCGGTAGCCCAGCAGTCTCAGTCCGTGGAAATGTGGTGTTTTATGGATCTTGATGGTGTTTTTATCCATTGAACAAGGTTACACGGAACAAATTCGAAAGAAACAATTTGGGAAGAAGCTAAAAGGTACTTAGAATTGAAACAGGATATTTATTGAACAAGGGTATTGAACAAGGGTATTGAACAAGGGTATTGAACAGGGTATTGAACGGGGTATTGAACGGGGGGTATTGAACGATGGGGACCCTTCTGTTCAATAGGGTATTGAACGGGGTATTGAACGGGATATCCACGAGTACCTGTTCAATACCAAAACGTTTTGACTCACAGCCATATCCATATCCAAGTACTATAGTGATAAGTATCCAAGTGATATCCATATCCAAGTGATCATTAAAAACTATATTGAAGTATGATATTGTCCATATCATTTCATATAAGTGATACTTATCAATATCCATATCCAAGTACTATAGTGATAAGTATCCAAGTGATATCCATATCCAAGTGATCATTAAAAACTATATTGAAATATGATATTATCCATATAATTCCATATAAGTGATACTTATCAATATCCATATCCAAGTACTATAGTGATAAGTATCCAAGTGATATCCATATCCAAGTGATCATTAAAAACTATATTGAAGTATGATATTATCCATATCATTCCATATAAGTGATACTTATCATACTTATCAATATCCATATCCAAGTACTATAGTGATAAGTATCCAAGTGATATCCATATCCAAGTGATCATTAAAAACTATATTGAAGTATGATATTATCCATATCATTCCATATAAGTGATACTTATCAATATCCATATCCAAGTACTATAGTGATAAGTATCCAAGTGATATCCATATCCAAGTGATCATTAAAAACTATATTGAAGTATGATATTATCCATATCATTCCATATAAGTGATACTTATCAATATCCATATCCAAGTGCTATAGTGATAAGTATCCAAGTGATATCCATATCCAAGTGATCATTAAAAACTATATTGAAGATTATTGAAGTATGATATTATCCATATCATTCCATATAAGTGATACTTATCAATATCCATATCCAAGTACTATAGTGATAAATATCCAAGTGATATCCATATCCAAGTGATCATTAAAAACTATATTGAAGTATGATATTATCCATATCATTCCATATAAGTGATTTTTTCCAGCCGTGATCATCTTACCGTACTTCGTTGTTGAAATGTTTGCCTCGCCTTCGACGCCGTTTCCGTTTCCGTCGCGCTGCAAATCGCCCAGGAACAGGGGCAAATCGAGGGAGCCTGGGAAGGCCGAGAATGGAGAATGGTTCAAGGGATATTTTCCAGAAAAATAGCATAAAATAGCCATGGGATATTGGGATATGGAATGGAATTGATTCGTATTGATTCTTGATTTATTGTTGATGTTTTCATAGCTTTCTGTTGGAATCTCATTAGATAGCGGATATATCGAACGCGTCAAATGAGTAAAAACCATTAAAAACCAATAAACATACCCTCTGGTCTTTTTACGTATGGAAAACCACCGTTTTTAATAGGATATCAATATATATATCAATCATGACATAAATCATCAATCAGTGCCTTTCCCATGTAGATGGGCTGGCGGTGGGGCACATCTTCCTTAGTATCATCTTCAATTGCTAAACACACATACCACATGTATGTATCAACATAGTATCATATTATATCAATATATAATTGTATATATTTATATTAACAATAAATAACAATAACAGAATAACATAATAAAAATACAGTAATAATAATAATATATATATATATGTATTACGCTGCACATCGTGTAAATATAACTTCAATGTATACAGTAACTGAATGGCAAATGACTCAACTAAATTTCCGGGAGGTAACGACAGCCAAGGATCGAAACGTAAATTCACCCTCCGACGTTCGCCCTGATGATTCCTCAGGCTGGTCGTTAGCCGGGCTGTCAGCTAAGCCGGGCTATGCCGGGCTGTCAGCCACCATTGGCCCACCGTTTGCTTCATCCAAAGCTTGAGGAGTCTCAAAAACCTTTCCGAGAATGTTGGGATTAAGGGACATATAATGAGCCACAATTGATACGGAATTCATAGGGTTTTAATATGTTCAGCCATGCAGTGTCTGAGTATTTGTATCCGTCTGTCGAGTCCGGGCATTTGGACCGTTGATACCACTAATTTTTTCTTGGTACCAACACAGTACTATATACTATGGTTTGCCGCTTCCGACATGCTCTCTCCGTTTCAGCTGCTTCCAGGAACACTTTCATTGGCAAATTTGTGTATATATATATATTCTACAATAATATATATATATAAATATATATATAATTATATATATATATATATCACATTATATTCATTGTATATCGATATTTCTTTTTCTCAGTCAATACTCACATCATCTTTTCAGGGTTGCAACCCCTTCTTGAATCATCTCTCCATGGTTCATCTCTTGGTGAACTCCAAGAGGCTGAAACACTGGGATCTTCAGACACATCGTCGCGATGAACCTCAGTGATTGGATGAGAATGTCTGTGTCCGCCTTTAAACAAAAAGCAGAAATTAGAGAAACTTACAACTGCTTGGGTCTGATATTTTTTCAGATGTTTTATCATGTTTTATCATGTCTTATCCATGTCCATTCACAATCTGAGACGGCTGTATGGGCTGGTTGGTATTTTTCTTCCAAAAATATTGCCAAACGAAGGGATACTTATTTGGATGTTCAAAAATAATTCCGTTGATAGTGGGACTTCTCAGACCTATCCACCTTAGGTTTGTATATCAAAAGGAACAATCGTGTTACCATCTGGTAAACAAACATTGCTATTGAACATGGCCCATTGATAGTGGATTTTCCCATGAAAAATTGTGATTTTCCAGAGTTTTTTGTTTGTTTACCAGAGGGTATCCATTTCTCTGAACTCTAGCCCAAAGAATGAGACTCACAGTACTCACAGCAGTTCTTCAGGTTGGTTTTATTGTCTCACCATGTAGCTTTCCAGCTGGTCTATCATGCCCGTTACATGGCCGTATGGAGCTTTCCAATCAGAATTCTGCCATTGAAATGTGGAAAACCAGGGGTTTTAGGATGTTTTTGCGAAGCCATCATGACTTGGTTGAACCCCCCCATATCCGCAGATTGAGAAGCTGGTCCTTCACCGGTCTCTTTTGGAAAAAACGGTGATTGAAGGGCCGGATCTTCACTGCCGGCGGCTGTCTTTAACGACGTCTTCTCGGGGCCGGTGCCATGCAGCAAGCGTGGTAGCCTGGCTAACAAAACTGAGATTTCACGGGAAATTCATCAGAGATAATCTTGGATTTGCTTAATGGGGTCCCCAAAAAATAACGCATATTCACTATAGTAGATTCCCCATTTCTGGTGAATTTTCCATTGGGAAAATAAACAATCACCTCAAACAAACCCAGGTAATGGGATGTTACTATGTTAATCCTCTCTCCCTATTACCAAAACACGGCCTCCCTTGAATGGTAAACACGGTGATCTCTTTTTGTTATTAGGGGGTATGTTGTATTAGGGTGCCCCTAATATTCCAATGAAAACCTTAGTAATAAAAATAACAAAACTCAATTTTTAAAATTTGATTAAATCCCTTCTAAAATCTATGTAAAATATTGCCAAAAACTGGATTTCGAAGCTCTCCCCCAATATTCCAATGAACACCTTAACAACAAACATAAAACAACTCCATTTTTTTATTTGCTTATATAAATATATATATAATATGTCCCTTTTTAGCATCTAAAATATAAAACATTGCCAAAAAATGGATTTCGAAGCTTTCCCCTGATATTCCAATGAAAACCTAAGAATAACAATATACAAATAAAAATAGGGAGATGGGACCCTAACAAAAAACCTCCAGGTGCCAATCTATTTTTATTAATAGGGTTGAACCCATTGCTTCACCATCTGGTTCTCCTATTGATTCTCAATTACCACAATCAAGAATCAAATTGTGCCCAACCAAAAAAACGGAAGTGCCAAACCAATCCTATGTTTTTTTATTTCGGGTGGTTTTAGTAATAGAAGGGATTATATACTAACAATTCATGTCTACTGTAGCTGGTGGTTGAGCCACCGATGCTGGTCATTAAGAACGATCATCACCCCATTTCTATGGTCGAACATGAGAAGCTTTGGGACTGGGCTGGAGTCTAAATCAAAATAAACCAACTTGGAGTTCAAACAAGCAGAACTACCAATGTCTTTGGAACGGGAGGAAACAAACACTGTAAAACACTGGTGCAATCCCCATTTACAGGTGATTTATCCATTAAAATTGTGATTTTTTCCATAGCTATGTGCAATTAGCAGAGGGTATCGACTTGGCATTAGCTTGTCTTTGCTTATGGACTGAGTCTCCAAAGTAGTCCCAATGGCAGAATTCAGAATGCTCTGGCGATGTTCAATTTCAAGATCCAAAAGGCTCTGGTACCGAAGTGATTCCTTCTTCCTTATCCCCCATGAATGGCTCCTGTGGAGTGGTTCTTGCAAAAGAAATTGGTACCCTCCAGTGCACTAACATAGTTATCGGAAATCACCATTTTGAATTTCAAAATCAACTATACTATAGATCACCAATTTTCCATAGGTATGGTAGTTACCAGAGGGTACAAAATCAGATCGTGTGCGTTTGACTGCACATTCTAAACTCTGCCCAAGAACACCTAGTGAGCTTTGAGGAAAATGCAACTCACATTTTTCATAATTCCAGGAATTGGAATGAATTCGAGGGTTTAGGTAATATACATCCCAGAATTTCTCTATAAAGTAGAGCCACTTTGGAGAAACCGCCGTAGAGTTATCACTATCTATCTCTATAGATTATTGGATAATATATAAGAAAATCATCAAGTAATTGATTTTAAATTAGTAAAACACCACATATATATATATATATATATTCCCAATAATAATAATACTCCCAGCAATTTGAATCTCCATCCCGGGCCGTCCCCTTTCACGTGCCACCTGCTATTCGCGTCAGCCTGAAAGTAGCTCGGTAACACGGCAACGCCTCGGTCCAAAGCCTCGGACGGGATGAAATCTGGGATGAAATGTGGGGAAGTGGATGGACAACAGGGATTTTACATGCCCTGTTTTGCGAAACATGGTGCAATGGTGCTGGTATATAAAAACCTAGAAAACTGGGTGATAATTTTGGGCAAGGGTAGATGTTGGGATTAACATATTCCAGCACCATGGTTCGCATTTTACATGATTGAACCAACAATGACAGGGGACGATAATGGATGTAAAATGATGTAAATTGGACTGACCCTCTGGTGTCCTCAAACGTGGCTGGGAAACTCATAAATGATCATAAATGGATATAAATAGAGGTTTCTAGCTGGGAAGATCGAGCTATGGCTGGTGGAGTTTCCAGCTATAGCCATGTTTGATGACACCGGAGGATAGGTCGCTTTGACCTGGAACATTGCGTTATGATCTTTGCTTCAGAAATGTCTTCCTACATACTCCACACATCTGCAAACAGGCTTTAAGCGACAGGAGAACGGCATGAAACACATCTGCAGAGGGGTCCTTCTAAGCACATCTAACCACAAGAAAACACCAGGCTGCATGGAAATGCCATCAAGTCACCTCATGATCATCACAATCAACATTCTGATGCTGCGTCATGCCACTGTCACCTGATTCTGTATCTCCTTCCACCAGACGACGTCCAAAGAGTCTCAAACGCATGAGTTTGGCAGCGTGCAGCCTGCTGTGAAATCGCTGGCGCCAGGGCTTCGAATGGTATCCCACTCCGTCTTCAGACAGAAGATCAGACTGCGAGGACATGACGTGACCATCAGAGTGGGCGTGGAAAACGCTGCCAGAACCACCTGTGAAGGAAGAGTCTCCTGGCAAGGTATCTGGTTGAAACTCTGAAAAATCAGAAAATCCCATCACATTCAAAGAACCTCAAGTGAAATGACAACTCTAAAGCTTAAGGTGTCACAAAAACTCACTCAAGAAACCATCAAAATCATCAATCAAAATCATGAACCATCCAACTCATTGGAAATCACCCGCCATCCCTTCTCCTGGTGGCTCCACATCCAGTTCCACCTCGCCCGGAAAATCGTCGCCGTCGTCACCGTCCCCACCGTCCCACTGGACCCGCGAGGGTTCCGAGCGCGTCGGTGCCATCAGCACCGCCAGCTGCTCCGGGGTCGGATCGGCCGCGTCCGCCTGGGAAGCCGCGCAGTTCGCCGGAGAGTCCTGACATGGGGGGCATGGTATGGGTAGAAAATGGTAGAAATCTAGACATTTGATGCAAAGGACAACATGAGTCATGCAAGATACACATACTCCTCTTCATTGAGGTGATTCATAGATATTTCTAGATGAAATTTCTAGTAGATTTCTAGATAAAATTCTGGATATTTCTAGATTTTTTCTAGGTCAAAGACACTATTTCTAGATTTTTCTAGGTCAATATTTCAAGATGGATTTTTCTAGATGGATATTTCTAGGTCAAAGAAACTCAACAACTTTTGCCAGCTTCTCATGTCCTGAGCCATCCATCGCGAAGCGCTTTCGGAAAGGAACTCCTCCCATCGACTGGATCCTGGTGAGCCTGGTGTCATCTCAGCGACCAATGGTCATGGGAAATCCCCGAAAGAAATCCTGGGAAAACATGGGCAAAAACCTGGGGAATTCATCGTAAATCCACCATCAATGGAGGTTTATATTTATAGCTGGGAAAACATCCAACTCAATCTGGAATCTTCCATTGCCATGTTTGATTGCCAGAGGGTTTGTTCCAAACAGATGGAAAGTGATCCCTCTCTACTATTTCATAGTGGTGGTTTTGGTGGTTTACTTTGAACTCGTTTGAAGGATCCAGATGGCCTTAAACCATTTCGGAAATCTGTTTGACAGTGTTAGGTTTTTCGTGCCAACACATCAGAATCATTTCGAGATTCAAAGTTGCAACTCAATTACACTCTCAAATTTATACCTGTGTGATAACTCCTATCGGGTCCTATCGTCTCCCCAAGGAAACACCAAGATGTTCAGCAGCAAGAAACAAGTAGGCCCCGCATCTGTGGTCACTTCATAGCTGAAATTCTCAGCTTCCACGGATGCCACCTTTGTGACCTAAGATTCCCATGATTTGATGTGCCCTAGCTGCTTCCTAAGCCTGCAGATGTTTTTAAGCAAAAAAAAACACCAACCAAGCCTGACTCGAGATCAATTTCACAACCTCCATCAACTTCCATCAATTTCCATCAAGTTCCATCAACCTTTCAAGCTCAACCCCTCCAAAGCCCCCATCCCCAAGCCCCAAGCCACGTCTCAACAAAAATCCAAGGCTCAAGATCGCTCTCCTCCACCTTGACGGGGCAAAGGAAGTCGATGGATTTCATGGGGATTTCATGGATATGGAATGTATCATGTAGTTGATATATGATATATGTATAAAAATTATATACTATATATATATATATGATCTTATATGTATATATATATATACTTATATATAATTGTATATAATTAAATTATAATTATATATATATATATTATTAGATTTATGATATGGGTGTATATATATATATAATACTGGGTAGATCATGCGGATATAATGGGAGATAACTGAGATAACCAAAAAACATCTTATCTATTTGGTGGTTGAGCCATCCCTCTCCAACAAAATATGCGAAAGTCAATGGGATTATACTATCATGATATATCATTCTAGGATGGAAAAAATAGCAACTATTTCAAAACACCAACCCAATGTTATGGCTGTGAGTCAATTGTTTGCTGAAGTCCGTCACATGGAATAATGTATCATGATTTCAGTCATTTTTGGCACCAATGTTTTTAACCCAGATCATACCCATAAGTTGCAGTTCAGTTAGAGGACTATCTTACATCATCTTACAGTAGGTGCTTGTGGCAGTTGTGTGCAAGCAGCACATTCGTAATTCGTGGGCAAGTCTTTTGAGATAACGGAATGACAACTCGATGATAAGTTGGTTTATATGTAAACTAATGTATATTACCCTCTGGTAATTTAACATAGCCATGGAAAATCACCATTTTGAATGGGTAAATCAACTATTTCTATGATCATTTCTATGAAACCACCAGAAACCATCCGCGAGTCATCACCATTTTTATGGGTCTATACCCTAAGGATCTCTGACAGCAAATAGGGACAAAATAGAAATGTAGGCAATATACGACTACATTACTATCTTCATCAAAATCTATATACATTGTCGGAACTGGCTTTGTCGGAATGAGTTGGGGGCCTTATGTTTGTCGAATTCAGTGGCATTTTGGGCTTGTCACTTGGATTAGTATCCTCAAGATTCTAAATCATCATGTATTCACTTGGAACAGATCGTCACATGACAATGATTGCACCAATATCATTTGGAAATCAATGGAAATCAATATATGATTCTCATCATGTCACCCAATGGACTCAGCTTTGAATGCCTTCGGACAAAATAAAGGGCATCATACGTATCACAAGCTAAATTTCATAATCGAAAGTATCCTCCAAAACGTAGTTGTATAATTATTCATTCATGAAACGAGCCATTGCCCGCCATCGTGAGCAGCAGCGGAGTGGGGGTGCAACATCAACTCCATTCACTTTGGCATCAAGTGGTGGGTTGGCAAAGCATTGGGGAGGTACGCCTGCCCCTTCCTGGGATGCCTGGTGGTTGGGTTCGCAGGGTGGGAATGATCCCACGAATTCGATGCTTTGATCTTTGGGGGCACTTTGTCCACAAAGTGTAATTTCGATAGACGAGATTTATCTATTGGGATGAAATTCAACTACATTCTTCAAAATAATTTTGTCCCTATATTGCTGTCAGAGATCCTCAGGATATGTACCAAATTTATAATGTGACTATACCCTATTCGTTCTCAAAGATCTTCAGGGTTTGTTTGCCATAATCAAAATCCCTTTCGACCGAGATCGAACGTCAGGTTCAGGGAGCCATGGACACATTGCTCGATCAAAACAATGGCTCATAGCGGCTTTAGGTTTCCAACTCGTTGTGCTTAGCGATGGCCCGGCCCCAGCTATCGCTGGAAGAGCAAAAAGCAATTTTGGAGGACTTTCGGTTTGAACTACGTTTTTCGGTTTGGGAAACTTGACATGAGTTAAGATCTTTGAGTCAATATTGAATAATATTAATGAACCACATTGGTTAAATAATTGAATTTCAATTTGTTTCATGAATGCCACAGATTTATGAGAAACCCGTCCATCAGTCCAGAGGTCAGGGGAAACCTCTCGCAGGATGTGCTGAATGATTTCGTCTTGGAAAAGCTGGAGGTGATTCGCCGGCACCCCACCAAGACCCTTTTTCTGAAACCGGATGAAGGCCCTGCGTCAGTCGAAATGGTTACTCGGCTAAACATATCGCAGTGGTACTTATTGTAATGTGTAGATCTAGATAAGTTCCTATATGCTTTCAAAGACTCTTTATGGGAAAGATGTATGAACTTCCCTGTTGAACCTTCATGATTAAAAAAAACATAAAAACATAAAGACATGAAAAACACAAAACTACATTACTACATACGTAAACCACCACGATACAGATTCATGATGAGTCTTTTCAGAAGTCCCTCGCCATCCTTTGAGGTGGAACTGCACTATGAGTTGGCCATGCAGTACTTTGCATCCCTGGAATTGCACATCCCAAGTGCGAAAGCACATCAGGACCGTCTTCCTTTATAAGGTTGCAAGTACAAAGTCTTGCAATTCAATAAGTAGTGCTAGTCATTTCCTTTTTTTGACACTGATCTTATCTGATGTTTCTGTGTCCTGATTGTGTATTGAAATGTTTTAACTATATATATACACACATATATTATATATTTATGTGATCTGTATACAACATGTCTTGCTACCACTGCCTTTGCCGCCCACATGCTCACAGCCCTTCACCGTCAGGAAGTCTTGGTGACCTTGTGCAAGCGGTATTTGCTGTTGGGTTCGAAGCCGAAGAGCCGAGACGTGAAGGACATTTGGTTTGGGTGGGAATAACTTGGGAAGATTTTGTCATAAATTATCCCGAATCAAATTCCTTAACAAAAAACTTCCAAGTGTCGACCTTCGATTCTATTCAGCAGATGATGTTTATTGATGTTTGTAATGACGATGGTGATGAGGATGAAGATGATGACATGTCAACAAATTCTGAAAATGATAATTAAACAAGAAAACCCCGTGATGATGAGTAAGCATAAGTAAGATGATTGTGATCCTGATGATGGCGTTGCGACTCATTTTGGTCTGCAGGATTGGGCTTCGAAGGAAGCTGGTGATTTGAGGTGCATGCTTGTCCATGCATTGAATCTATGCAAAAGAGCCAGCACTTCAAGATCCACCAAAGTGAATTTCCTGAAGCGGTTCATTTTGGACATTCGCATCAGAGGCTCCCAGTGGGGAATTCTGCAAATTTCCAAACTTAATAATACTGCGTTGCTTTGAGGTGGTATTGATCCGAATCAAAGTTAAAAACCCACAAAATATTTGAAAAACATGTGCCTCATGCATTGTGTTTTTTTGAATTTATGATAAGCCCTAGCGATACATAACCTAAGATCAAAATATCATTAACCAAATCATTCGGTTTTGGGGCTCGCTGAAACTTAATCTATCCCTCCAGGTGGACACAATCCCAATGGATGTGTTGAAGATGCTCTGCAAGCGGCGATTGCAAATGACCAGGAGGTGTGACCAGAACGGGTCGGGGGCAACCTATCCAAGCTGACCAGTATCATTATGATCTGTTTACAAATTGGAAACACATCATACTGAACCATTCAGCTCTGTTCCAAACATGAAATTGTAGACAATCAACTACCAGTCTACCGGACTGTGGCCTTGCGGTACCGTTACTTTACATATATATAATACGAGTCTTCTGCCAGGATTCTGGATGCCCGACTGCGACTACGACCACTCCAGTGGCTTCCCCGGCTGAATCGGTCCCGACACCGACCAGCACCAGCAAAGTTGTCGCTAGACTTGCACTTGAAACTAATCTTGACTTTCAAGACACATATTCGAAATAAAACACATGAAAAAACATAATTAGAACATTAAGTTTATTTAGGTTCCATTATTTTTTTGCAGGGGTGTCCGACAGATTGCGTGTCATCTTATCATGCATCATTACTACTGCATGCACATGTGATGAAACAAATACTTAATTTGAACTCTGGCTGCACTATTAAAAAAAACGTGCGTACATATATATACATATACACACTATATATATATATATTGAATATATTCTTTCAAACTGAGTAGCTGTGTTCGAAATAAATGTATTTATTGCATATCGAATAGTACTAGTATTACCAAGATACGATTTGTAGTTGGATATGCTGTATTCCAGCTCCGGCCCAGGTATCTCCTGACAACTTGGAGACCCAGCTTGATGAAATGTTGGAGAACATGAACATCAGCGTTGAGCCTGATGCCGGGCATGCAGATGAAGTGATGCATGATGATGGGAAGAGACGGCAAGCTGAGAAGGACCATATATATTAACATCAAGCCTTGAATTCTATGCCAAATCAAATCAAAAGTGATTAGCTAACCAGCAATATTGGTTTCCTGAATAGGGTCATTACACATTTACAAACACTAATGGGGACGCTTAGCTTGGTAAAACTGTTGCTTTGGACTATGGAATTGAAACATGGGGAACATTGCAACCATGATTTGGTACCCTGACTTCCAATATATTCCAAGTCTGTTGCAGGATCGTGCACCACTTGAAGCTGACAAACCGCAACTTCGACCAGAGATCGAGAAAGCTGCTGAGGGTTGCATGGAGGGATTGGAAACCACCACTCATGAGAATTCAAAAGATCCATATACTGCTCAGCTCGAAAAATCCAAGGCTGCCAAAGTGTTGTCAGCTGAAAAACTTTTGGACAAAGCAAAATCTGATCCAAAAGTTCAGAAAAAATTGAAAGAGAAAACGGGTCGTGGTCGTGGTCGTGGCCGCGGCCGCGGCAAAGCAGGAAATGTTGATGACCAGGAGAAATCCAAAAAGGCTGAGGAGAATGAACATGTTGATGGTCATGATGAGGGTGAGCAGGCGGTTGAGGGGGGACCTGCACCATCTACTTCAGAGCCTGCCCCCAAAGATGAATCGTCGCCGGATGACCCAGCAGCTGCATTGGCCACACAATGGGCAGCTAAGGCGATTTACTCGGGTGGTGTGGTGCTATGTATGTATATATATATATATATACGCTAATCAAATTTAAGCTATGACAATTTCAGCGATACTCTGTACCATTATAGTTCGTCTATGCGTGCATTTTTTTCGTAAATCCATCTTGAGGTTTACCTATAAGCTAGCGGGAAAATATGTGAATGTAAACGTACGTATATATAAAATATATGAAACGTTATATTAATTGAAACTGCAGGCAAACCAAAGTTGAGACAACATTATTGTTCATCAATTTCTTTTCAAACGCAAATTTGTCTTTGGAAATATGTAATCACAAGAAGAACCAACATTAATCATGAGTAAGACTTGTTTTGTTTTACAAGTAGTGTTTGAATATGCATTGTGTTCCTTCGACCACATGTACATTCCGAACCTGTCCCATCCAGCCTTCAGCTCGATAGGAGGCCGAGATTCGCAATGCTGGCGTGCCTATTCCGGAGGGAGCGGGCGGGAAGAAGAGCTATTCTTTGAAGCCCATCCAGGGGAGCAGACCTGGTGCTGCATCTTTGGGGATCTTGTCACTTGATGTCATTATTCATGAAACGATTCATGATGAAAAAATATTATATATATATATACGTATATGATCACATATATACATATACGATTATAGTAGTATGATTTTGACATGTACTGTATGGCAATGCTTTGTATGCAGTAAGTGAATCCCATCAGAATTTGAAGACATACATGTGCACATTTACAATTCACAAACGACCTCCAAAACCCGAGTTATCGATATATAGCATGCATGCCAACTCATTCCTTGGCTTCACCAGGTGGACGTTGGAACAGATCTATGTCACGAAGGTCTTGGTGGAAACCGCTATTCCCAATGGGCTCCAGGCCAACAAGAAAGGTGGCTGCACGATCACCGTGCGAAAACGAGGTGGTTGGAAAGATTCATTTTTGATGGCACAAAAGATTGCTGGTTGGATCTAGGTTTTGATCAAATTTCACGCTGCATGGGATTGCATTCGGAACGATACTACTATTCCAAAACATTTACATAAACCTTTACATAAACGTATTGATTCCAGTACGTGCAGCAGTGGATCTATCGACCTTTTGTAGCCTGTTGAGATTAACCAACAGCGCCAGGCCAGATTGACAAGCGAATGGATAAAAGAAAAAAAACATATCAGTTGTGGCATTGCAAACCACTGGTGCACTGAAAGATACGTTTGTTGTTTTTTATGCATGGGTTGATATGCTCCCAACAATTACCCCAAAGGGAAATGTGTGTGTGCTATTTTTTCAGATGTAGTGTGTGGTACTGTATGTACATCTCACGTGTGGTTCCAACAGCTCAAGCTCAAGAACTTGAACGCCTGTTTGAGTGGGCAGACCTGCGATGGCGTTCGCTTTAACAAAGCGAAAGGCTGCCCTTTTGCTTTTCTATGGTGCTCCGATAATCCTGCCACTCTTCTCAAACTTGGTTGATCACAGAATGAAATCATCAGGATTGGGGAACTTAAGATCGGGTTCAAGTAGATCATCACATGTATCTACTTAAGCTTGAACATTATTCAATCCGATGGTAACCGACAATGACCTACCTACCAGATTCATCTTATCTGAGGCTCCACTGCATGGATTATGTCTCCCAGCAGATGAGCATCACTGATGACCGTTGGCAGAGGGACCGGGCCGGGTTTGGCACACATCCCCCTGTCCGACTGTCCCAGCCCGACTAGGTCGTTGTTAAAGTTTGGATCGTACATAATATATATATATATATATATATATATTTATTTATTTATTTATTATTTATTTATTTATTAATATTTATTGCCACCCAAAGGTATGCATTAACCTTGATGATTCCAAACACCATCTTACTTGACACTGGTTATTCCAAATCGTCAATGCACTCAAAGAGTCATAGTTCCGAAGCCAAATATGCTACTCATTGGGCAACTTTTGGTAATGATATAATTACATAATGGGCCAAAAGAAAAAACATAATATATATATATATATGTGTGTGTGTGTCAAAAAGTTTCGCATACTGCAGGACCTTGACGTCTACGAACTGTTCAGTGGTGAAGGCGAACTTGGACGCCAATGTCGTGCCTCGTTCAATCATTAGATATCGATATTCTCTTCAAAGCATGTGCGCTAATGATATTTGAAGATTATAGTTATAATTCATGATGTGAACATAGTTAGAAATCATAGTTTTAACTATACCTTCAAAAAATCATTATTCAGGAAACACAAGTACATGCATGGTACATGAACAATATGTATATCACATATTTAACTCAACATGCAAATCAAAAAAAACATGTACATATTGATGTATAAAGTATGCAATTACTAGTTATATACCGACGCCCAGGTGCAGCGGGATTCCACGTGCGCACCTCCGACATCATGAAGGGCAAGTTCCACGACATCACGACACCTGAAGGCTTCATGTTGTCCCTCAAGGGGGTGTTGAGGCTTCGTTACAACGGATTGTTATGGCTTGGTGTTCCCTGCAATTCGAAACTTGGTGGGAATATATCATGAAACATCTTAACTTTGAAATCATCAGTATTCAGACCCAAAAGATATACATATATGTCATGGTGGTCTTCAAGGAAAGTATTCTGTTGGAAATCTAAATCATATATGTTGGAGAATTCATCATTTCTAATTTGATAGGGTTTGGGACCGAGATTCACTAACAACACAATGGCTAACCTTGTCATTATTTCTAGTTGTTTATTTTTGTTGGTATCTATAATATATATATATGTTGTTATAATTAGTTTTCAAAATGCTTATTGAAAGTATTATGTATAGTCAATGGCTCGGGTTACAACATCAGTTTTGCGAATTTCTGACTAAGTTGGGTCTTCATGTCATCATCAACCACAAAACGGACCTCATCTGAATATGGAATCATGGGGGATGAGACGGTGAACTCTGTTGCGGCTGGAAATTGCATTGCAGCGCGTGTGGCGCTGCTTTGCATGGTGGCGGTGATTCGTGGGATCTTTTGGTGCGTGATTTGGCTGAAGGGTTCCACAAAATCTGATCGTGTTCACAATGCATGTTCTAAAAACACGATTTAATAATACCTATATTATATAGTTACATAATATATATATATATGATGTACAATATAGTACACATATAATATATATATATGGAAGCTCGGATGCATCAAACAAAAACATACCCAATGTATATGTTTGCTACTTTTCCACTTGGGTTGGCACCCCAAAAAAGGCCCCCACAAGTCATAAAAGCTTGGGAAAAATGAAGGGAAAACAGTGTATTCTTGAGACTTGTGGGGGCCTTTTTCGGTGAACCAACCCAAGTGGAAAATTGCCATACATGTTGATTTGATGAACTGATTTTCACAATCCCAAAAACATTATATAAATATAATTAATCAATAAGGATGTTGGTTGTGTGGAACCCATTGACCTTGGCCTCGGTAACTCGAGGCAGAGCAACCTGGGAGCTCGTGTCTCAAGGATTGCCCTTACATGAGCCATGTGCTTACTAATATGGGGCCGAACTTCATGAGACGTACATGGATGGGAGCATATGGACACTGGTCATCAAAGCCGACACAGTTGTGGGGTTCGTGGTGGCTGGGTTAAGAGTGAGCATTTTTTTTAAATATGTATCATCGACACAAAAGATCCAAATTTCCCTGTGGTTAATGAATATTGTCAAAATGAACATCATTAATTTGTATACGTTTAGCTTTGACCCAAACCAACAAGGCCATCGGTGGAAGACTTTGTTAAGCAACTCTCTCGGGCTAAGCAGCAAAAGCTACAGGCTACGTCGAAGGGCATGTATACCAAACAGGTATTGCCAAATGGTAAGACCCGAGTCACCGGAGGGAAACGCCTTAAGTCAAGTGGAGCATATTCTAAATGCTTCGGTGTGACTGTGGCTAAGCTGCTGAAAAAGAAAGTTGTAACTTGGTTCAGTTACAATTGGGTGGTTCATTTCTGGGTGATGCATCAAGCAGTATATATATATATATATCATATGTGACAGTATATGGAACTCGTGTTAATGACATTTTGGAACCCAATCATAGAGTTTCAATTTGCATCGATATGCAATGACGTCCTCATAACTATAAACATCGACGTTCACGCTCGCCGCTGCCAAGGCACGGGCTCAGAAGTGGTATGCTGCACGCCGCCTTTCCATGCAACAGCGTGGTGGCTTAGTGGCCCACTTGCACAATGGAGTAGGTGGACTACTGGCTGTCATGAAAATGTTCTAGTGCTAATGGGATGTTCTCTTCAACTTAATAGTATATGTATGGGTATTCAACACTGAAGGTCTTGATCATGATGGGTTTACGTTTGTGTCTTATTGGGTTTATGTTTGGGTTCACCTTGACAAGTAGATTGGATTTTAATCATACCGATAAGGTTGTGATATTATACATATATATATATATAACTTGACTCAGAAAATAATATTAAGATCTGGTACAAACCAAATAGCTATATAATATATATATATATTATGTTTGGGCTGACTATGCATGTGTAACATATATATATATATACACATTTAGCAATGCCTCGTGGGCTTTAGCAAGTGTCCCAGCACTCAGCCATCCGAGGACATGCCTTTGGAGTGGAAGCACGCTGCTCTTGATCAGCTGAAATCATTCCTCAAAGAGGAACAGCGCCGTGGCAATTTTCACCCACACATTGGGCTTGAATTTTAAACATCATCTCTTTGGGTGCCATTTTGAAATGGGTAAAGAAAGGAATAATGGTTATTGAATACAGGGAAAAACTCTAGTGGTTGAATTTTTTTGGTGACCGAAAACCATTGGGCCAGCCTCTTTGGCAAACCCAGCAAGAAAATAAGCACCTTGTAAGCGTGCAAAGGTGTTCCAAAATTCGATTTTACACACTCACTGCAAATGTGCATGTGTGTGTGAACAACCATGCATCGATATGTCGGGGACAATGGGTCGGACGTGCATCCACGGCAACATCAAGTTGAGTGGGTATTCAAACTTACGAGGACATCCGGGGCCCAAGACTCTAAGATCTCAAGTTTTTGAAAGGATGCCCCTATTTTATCATCAAATGTTGTTCTCAAATAATTATGGTTCATCATAGTCGAGCACAAGGATTTATCAAAATTGATATTTCAATAGATATATTCATATATCTAAATATGATAAGTTGTTGGAGCTTAATCTGCAAGATTGTACAATAATGGCATAAAACACCTTTGTTGTACGATATTTTGACGTATGGTAATTCAGTATGTCCCTTATCTCGCAGTTATAGTTTTGATCATTCTTCAAGGACCTAATAGCCAGGTATAGATTTAGGCATACATGAACCAAAAAATGTTACAAGGTGTCACTTTTGATATGTTTTATTGTTAATTCGAATACTCTCCTGGGAAAAACCTTATTGTATACATAATATACCATGGGATATGGATCGGAACTCAATGAACGTTAGTGCACTATGGTTGTGGGATGTTGTTGTAATCCACATGTTGAATATATACCTTAATTGATGTCAAAATATCCTTACTCTAAGAGTCTAAGATCCTCAAAAACCGGAAAGTACATGTCCACCGGGAGTCGGAGGCTGGGGGGTACTGGACAGATGGGAGCGTGACGAACCGTGACGAACCGTGACGAACCGTGACAATAGGCAATTTTACTGCTTAAATATCATACATTGTCGGAAAAACGCGTGACAGACCGTGACAGACCGTGACGGCTAGATTTTGATAGTTTTCCAGGGTTTTCCAGACTGATCGTTATAATTTCCCATGGATCCATATCGATATCCATCTTATAATTTAGCCAATTTTGGTTTACCCAGTGCCTTGGTCGCCGCTCCGGACCCTACGCACCTTGTGATTGGGTCACCTGCTGTGGGTCCACCATGTCAACCTCAGATGACGCGCTGCTGGTACAGGCAGATCCAATCCAAAACAGTTTGTTTGATTTCCATACCATGGTGTTCCAAAAACAAATCCCACAAGCCAATCATATGGACCATATGTATATATATATATATACTAGTTCATCACATCTTGGAGGCAGCTCAACGAGCACTGCGAGATGCATCCCGTCGTCGCAAGTTGGCAGCTACTGTGGTCAGCAATCCAGCGGACAAGCGTTCACGGGCACCAGCAACCAGTTCTACAAAGGTTACTCCAGATGGGAAGAAACAATGTAGTTCAAGTGTGGTGGCTGACAATTTGCAACCACGATGCTTAAGCTTCTCTGATGATGTTACTGCAGGACAGGTTGATGATACAATTTTATTTTTCCACTTTGAGATTCGATCAATATAATGTTTGTTATTAATACTATAGGCAAGTTAAACATATTAACCATCATTTGGTTCCAATATGTGATCAACAGTATTCCTACCCGTCAGGAATCTCTTCTGCGCTTGCATTGCAGGAGATGACCCCAGTGGTGCTGATCCAAATGGTCCTTTGGTGGCTCGGACTCGCACACGTACGTGCTGGGATGGCTTGAGGTTTCAGAAGAACACATCAAACATATTATATTGTATATTATATCTGTTAACTTAAACAAATTATATATATATATATCATGTCTATACTGCACATGTTTTAATAAACATTCTCGTGTTTCACAATTACATACATACATGTGTATCGCACCTTCTTTTAATTTCATGGTAAAGTTATCTATAACTTGCCATGATGTTGTTAAACACAGTGTGTATATATATATATACATGTGTGTGTGTTGAATGTGTCTTCACTCCAAATCTTGACCATGAGGCAAAGTCGTCATTGCCAGCTTCCAGTACTAGTGATGAAGCAATGGTCACACGTATGAGGAACCAAGCTACACCGCAGCATGCACACCAGCCAAGCAATGACAAGAACAAGGCACCTGCAGCACACACACCGGCAAGTGCAACAGCAGACACTGACAAACTGACTTGGCAACCTGTCACAGCTGAGAGCATGAAATCCTTTTTCAAAGGCATCCCCAAGAAACAACCTAGTCAAGAGACCGTGGATTACATGCCAGCAGCAGCAGAGGGAACCTTGCCAACCCTAGAGTTTGCCCTGCCTGTGCCACCCGTCCCCCAGATTCTCCCATCGGAGATCGAAGAGTGTCATGACAAACAAGTTGAGGAGTTCTTTGAAGAACAGGATGCAATCCTCAGAGAACTCAAGAATTTGAGTACGGAAGATCTACTGAAACGCGGCCAAGCTGTTCGTGACCACCCCTTCTTTTGGCATTGGATGAACAATGTCGTCCAAGTCCAGCCAGAGGATATGCCCTATGTCGAAGTCTTCTGCACTGTACTGAACACAATGCCAGAAGAGGTGTGCGAGTTTGAACTGTGGCTCAAAACGCAGGGGTTTGGGCTTCAACAACAAGCTGAAGCACTCGCCGAACACCAGCCCCCAGCGACTGCAGCTGGACATCCTCCATCGGCAGCCCCAGTCACAGCACCAGCAGCAGCTGAAGTTCAAGCTCCAGCGGCAACCCCAGTGACAGGACAAACGAAAGCTGAAGTTGGACCAGTTGTTCAACCTCCAGCGGCAGCCCCAGTGACAGGACCAACAGTCCCCACAGCAGCAGCAGTGGCAACCCAAGTTCATCCTCCAGATGGTGAACATCCTCCAGCAGCAGCCCCAGTCAGTGCCATGACGGGATCAACAGTTGAACATCCTCCGGCAGCCCCAGTGACACAACATCCTCCAGCAGCCCCAGCCACAGCACCAGCAGCAGCTGTTGTTGGAGGTTCAACAACTCCAGCGGCAGCCCCAGTGACAGAACCAACAGCCCCGGCAGTGGCAACCTCAGCAGCACCCATGATTGGATCATTTGAAGCCACAATCGTAGCCCCAGCAACACCCCAAACCGTTGGATCGGTTACCTCAGCAGCAGCCTCAGCAGCACCAAGTCCAATTGGATCACTTCCATCTGGCAGCCGGGTGTGGGTGGACAACCAGCTGGGTGATTCCCAACTTTACCCCCAGACTGTGACAACCCCTGTCCGGACAACTTTAGATTCACCGGCGACCTCTCCTGAAGAATCTATTCAGATGAAGCCCATTACCCCGGATGGAATGAAAGCTTTCTGGAACACATTGAGGAGGAAAAGCACTGATGAACTCAGCATCCAGCAAGCTTCCCCGGCAACCAGGGTGTTGCAACTCGCAGCACCAGCAGCGCCGCCCAGCTCTGCCCCTCCCACTGCTGCAGCAATGGCCACCCAAGCTGTTCCAACATCAGCTGCAGCAGAAGCAGCATCAGGGTCAGCAGGGACCACACAGGCAGTTCCAACACCAGCTGCAGCAGAAGCAGCATCAGGGCCAACAGGGCCCACGCACGCTGTTCCAACACCAGCTGCAGCAGAAGCAACATCAGGGTCAGCAGGGCCCACAGAAGCTGTTCCAACACCAGCTGCAGCAGAAGCAGCATCAGGGTCAGCAGGGCCCACAGAAGCTGTTCCAACACCAGCTGCAGCAGAAGCAGCATCAGGGTCAGCAGGGCCCACACAAGCTGTTACAACACCAGCTGCAGCCAACGCAGCATCAGGGTCAGCAGCAGCTGCAGCCAACGCAACACCAGAAGCGGCAGCAGCACCTGCAGCACCAACGGCAGCAGCAGAGACAGCAAACAAGACCGAGGAAGACATCAAAGAAGCAAGAGCAGCATACATGCGATTTTATCGCAATGTCCGCAGCAAAAAAGCTCCCGAAGCAGTGACCAAGCATCTGGGATGTGAAATTGGTGTATAAATATGCATGCGTAGATACCATGCACAATGTATGTGTGTGTGCATGTCACATACATAACTGTTATACTGGTATATGTTCGTAGAATTTGTTTACATAATGTATTATGAATGTGTATATCAAGATCATACTGGGTGCAAGCAGTGATCTACCTATACATAATATAATATATATATAGATAATATATATTTATATATATATATATCAGGATATATATATATATATATATATACACATGATAGATATATATAGATAATATAGTAAACACATGATATATATATATATATATGTATGTATAATATTTTCATGATGTAAACATCTTATAATGTCAACCTTGGATTAATAAACCCCTAGGTTGTTTAGTTGGGGGGATACCATTTAAGTATCAGATTATGACTATTTGGGGAGTACCCCCCCTAATTAATAAACCATGGTTTATTAATCCGGGGTTGACATTATAATGTTTATCTTTACGTATGTGAACGTCTGCAGTGGTCTGGCAGGAAATTCTTGGAAGCGAATGCTGACAAGAGTGGACGGCTCATGCGAGCGCTGTTCAGTGAGTACCTGTGTTGTCAAGAGGATTGGATGGCCTCATCCCTGGTCATGACAGAATCCCAAGAAGATAGTGAAACCACTGGTGGCCGCTTCAGTTGGCTGACCAAACCGGAAACTTGATTAATTACTGTTTTTTTTGGGGTAGGGCATGACATCTGATGCGCCCCTTTCCTCAGATCAGTGTGCAGTATGGTGTATACTTGTTCCCTTAATTGCAACATATCTGGATATCCATTGAGATTGGTTTACCTTAGCCTACTTGTTCATATATATCTATAGGCATTAATGAATGATGTTGAGTTAACGTATAGCCAACACATTGGACTCATTACATACGCTTTCTCGAATTTGTTTCTGGTCATCTGTACACCACTCAGGATCTCTTGGTGAAGTATCACAACAACTCTGCGATTGTCCAGGAGTTGATCGCTGGGAAGTTGGTGAGTGGTCAGTGGAAGGAGCATCCGGAATTTCCAGGGAACCAGGATTCTTGGAATCAAACCATGTTCAACTTATTGTTGATAAACCCCCAGGGATGATCTCCCATGTATTGAGCTGGTATATTGAATAATATATATATATATACTAATTAAACCCTTGTATCTAAACCTGGATCTTGTGTAGTAATCCCAACCAGAATTTTTAGAACCAAATTGAACGGCCTTACATTGATGCCTAACTATATAAAAACAAATTTCATAACATAGCAGCATGCACACACACACACCCATATATTATAATTAATACCACCATGTTTCCCAAAATCAACATCAGCCTTAGGAAATGCGACTCTATCGTGTGTGGATGGAAGATTATGAGGTCAATGAGAATCGCCACAGCCGGAATCTGTCGCACGTTCGGGAAACTGAGGGGTCCTATGAGGGGATTGACGCTTCAGCACTTGGGGGCGCAGTTCCTAACTCCAACAACAGCAGCACCCCTGGGAATGGCAGGGGTGATGGAAACCGTGATGTTCGCTCAAGAATCCCAAAAGAGAAGAAGGAGAAAAAGGAGAAAACCGATGATCAACTTGCACGAGCTGCATTTCAGCTCAAAATGATCTTTTTTTCATATATAAATATATATATATGTATGGGTAATGATTGTTGGTTTGTTTCGGTTTGTTCCACATCTAGTTTGACAATATGCATGACCAATCACATGATATCCAAATCTAAGGCAATCGTCAAGGTGAACGCAAATCTCTTGGAGATCAGTCAGTGGGAGTTCAAACTCAAAACCGCAGGGGTGTCATGGGCTAAGTTGTACTTTCGAGATTGATTGAACAATGAAATTTGTATGCAACATGATTCCCCGAATTTTCTGTAATTTTGACTTGTGCCATCCGAGGGCACCTGTGGTTGCTACGGCCTTCGTCAGCCAAATGCAAACTGAAGAACAGAATCTCCGAGAGGCAAAAAGCGCCTTGGAAAATGCATTGGCTGGTGGGCGTCCTTTGAAGGACGTAACTGACCGGCTCGATGCTGCCAACACTCAGTATCGAGGAGCATCTGTGCAGATCCGCAAGCATGCTACTGTGCCAAAGGCCAGAGCTGCAAAGGCTAAGGCCAAAGGAGCTGCTGCTCCAAATGGTGCAGCTTAATTTTGATCGGCGCTGCCTCGCAAGATTAAGTGTAAGAACTTACTTCATTGTCTTTTTGAACAATATTAATTATAATATTATATATACACTGTATACTTTCAAATCAAATTGATTGTTTTCTCGTTCCAATGCGGGGGCCTCGCTGCTGGCTATTTTGACTTAGATTAGATCCAGACACATATGTTGAACATCGATTTGACCAAGCATATGTCTTCGCACTTCACCTTTAGGAACCTGTGCGGGTCCTTTGTCTGTTTGGGGGTGGACTCAAACATCAGGATGATAAACCGAATCATAGTGTACTCAAAAAAAAAGGTATGAACTTGAGCACCTGAGTCGTTTGAGTCTTGACCACATTGGTCATAATCTAGATTTGGTACAGGCATGGATGGTGCGGGATTGGTGGGTGCAGGCTGAGCTGAAAACACACTCACAATCGGCCGCAGGGTTGAACAGACTTCGGATCTCTATCCATAGGGTTCCAACGATGATTTTTGATTTCCCTTCCGACCCAACCAGTCCTGCCACATATGTGTTTGATTCATGAAATATTATTGGATCATGTTGGATTATTCATCATTATGTGTGATACACCCAAATGAAGTTTTATCTCGTTTCATTAACTACATGATATGATGCTCCCACGCAGGTAACCATTCCTTTGCAGATCATCTTCTCTGCTCTTTGGGACGAGGAGCAACTTTGGCTGCAAAACAGATTGGGCGGAACCAAGTCAATCTTAAAATGAAAAAAGTTAGTCTCAAAACTATCTGATTATCTGATAAACAACCAGCCCACATCAACCAGTCACCCCGATGGCCAAGCCCTCTGCCAACCAAAACAATTGCCAGGCAACCAGCTGCTTGGACCTTCAAAAAAGTGCTGAAGCCTGCATCAAGGAGACGGAGGACTGGTCGCCACTGGCTGGGTTTATTGGGACCCAAGTAGTGTCATATCATGTCATACCATGTTGTGTCATATCAAAGTTTTTCGTTTGGTACATTTAGTTTGCATATTATAATTTCAAAATGAAATCCTAAATCGTACAGTTTCGAAATCATATTTATACATCTGATCATTAAATCAATCTTGTTTCATCACACAATTATTTATATAATATATATATATATAATGTATACATATCATCCTTTGCACACATAATATATACATATACAAAATGCAATGCCCTGTGGAGGCGTATGGTGGGACCGTTTCAACTCTCACAAGAAAACTGGCATCTTTGGGATCTCATGGCAAATTTCCAAACAATTTGGAGCGCGATTTGTTTAGAGCATTGGAGTTACCCATTGCCCCTTTCTACGTTGACCTTCCTGTGCGGTGTCAGAGTAACCGAGAAGACATAGTCCTCAAACGAATGCCACTGCTCCTTCCTCATCAACTTTACCATTATTTGTTTGATACTTGCTTTATTGAGCAAATTTTCGTGTCATTCGGATCCCATTCAGTATTTTGTTGGGAAAGCATTTCTTTAGCTATATATATACCCATAGGATCCATGTATGGTATATATGCTAACATTTGGGGTATATTGATGGTAAATGTTACCATATATAGCATACATGGATCCTATGGGATATATATATATAATTACTTATGTTGATACATCCCTTCAAAAGTGCCACCAAGGACAGTGGAAAATTGAAGATGAAGCGTGAAACTGTAGCTGAATTCTGGCAGAAAACTACTGCTACTGGATGGTTGAATCCTTCTCATCCTGGTAAGTGGGGAGCCAATGTTGTTGGCCTTTATGGTGATGATGCAAGGTATACCAAATCGGGTGAAAAGTTGATCGCAATCGCATGGAACTGTCTTCTTCAAGAAGCACACAGTGCCTAATAACTTTGCATTAAGCTGTCAAGTTGTAGTTTTTGAAACGAAAAAGGGTTTACCGTTGGTTGGTCGTTGTTTGGTGTATTTTGCAAGTTTCCCCCAAAATTTTACCAAAGTACAAAACACACATGTGTCCCTAGACATCCTCTGTTCAGGATTGGATCTTGCAAGGTTCCCGATCTGCGTCCTACGATGTGCATTGAATGTTCCAGAATACACTTTGACAAGGGTGTACCAGGTCATTGCATGGAGCCTCAAAGATTCTTGGGATCAAATCATTTTTTGTTATTTTGTTAACAACTGTAACATATTCCCAGACACTCATCTTGGGACCAATATGACTGTTTATATGACTTGTTTCTTCAACATATATTATATAAATATGTATGTATGTATGTATATATGGCGATGATTTTTTTCGTAGATGTTGATCTAAGGCTTTGGCTGAAGGAGTGCACCCGACAACCGATTTCGAAGGAAATCCATTACCAGCTCTGCATTCAAAGTTGGCAGGCAAACCTATTGCAGGTGCCATTCCCTGATTGGAGCAAGGTTTGTGATTTTAGTTCATCCATATCCCAAAGTGCTCATGGTACTTTTATGTTTTGATTTTGCTCCTAAAGATATTTTTTTTGGGGATAAATTTCATGTTGGGAGCCATCCAGATCGCCCAGATCATGCCCGCTGCCGCCTCATTCGAAATAGAATTCCCTGTCCTCAGGTGGACCAGCTTACTGCGTGGAGTACCGAGGAGATTGGAAGTGGCAGAGGGAATGTTTCTCTTTGCGTACCCATTGGGGTGGAACGGATTTCTGTCATGTGTGCACTGCAAAGGGAAACCGCGGAAACCCTATGAACAGGTAACTGAATTGAGCAGCATCATTTTTTATTTTCAGTTCGATAATTTATTCCACAAAGAAACTGAACAAACAAATTAAAACCATCAGTCATTCCAAACTTTTTCCTTGAATGTATAGATTATAAAATATCATAAAATACCATAAGCAAATCAACGTTGACTGCATCATGAATCATGAATGAATATTTACATGTCTTTCAAAATTATATATACATATTACCTGCATACTGGTAACGACTTTTTTCAGGTGGACCCGCTTTGGGCGAACATTTCCGAGAAGATCTGCCGACAATGCGCTCGCATCTTGCTACAGGCCCCTGGATCTGACTTGGGTATTGCTGTCAACATAAAATTTTCGAAGCCTTACTTACCTATCATGTGCATGCGATGTCATCCGGAAAAGAATCACAATCAAAATCAATTAATATTTAGGTTCGAAGCATCATGAATCAGTATGATGGTATGACGAACATATACGTTGGAACTCGTGAACATACTGAAAGTGTTCTGTGCAACATATGCAGGAGCCCTCATCCTTTATTCACAGTGCCTGGATTCGAAACTTCCCAGATTCGCTGGTGTACTATGCATTGTGTAAACCTGGGGGTGCTCCAAAACTTGAATGGGTCTCTGGTGTCACTATTATTTGAACATCGAAACTTGGTGAATCATTATTATAACGATCCTGTTTTTCATTTGATATTTTTTTGGGGGTAGGGCGGTAGGGGGTAAGTATTTGTAGTTTTGTAGATTTGGTGCTGTGCTGGTGCCTTGCAATCAGCAAGGATTCTTCGGCGAAGGGAACGTGGATGATGGCTTCCGGGTTTTGTCATCTCGCTTTCGGAGATGGGCACGGGTGCACAAATATGAGTGGCTGGTATTTGCGATTTATTGCATTTTTTGTTGATTACATAATGTTGTGAGATTACATTTACTAGACTTTTTACTTTTGTGGATAATTATGTTGTTCTAATCAACCAACTCGCTGAGACCTAGCTGAGGCACAGCCAAGGGTACATGACATCCGGTATGATGAGCCAAACTGACGGGTACCCTACTCTATGCTGCAAAGCATTCAGCGGACGTCTCCTGCTCATGTTTTTGGATTCGTGTGTACATACACTGGCAGAAGGCTCTTCAGACCCCGAGCTCCTCAACAGCTGCGTTGCTTCTAGGAGTCTATGTATGTGGTTTGACAGGATGGAACAGGCGTCAAGGTTTTTGACTCCCAGTCAGGGGGCCGAGCTTCATGCATTGGGCATGAAGGTTGTTCGCACAATTGAACGTTTAGCCATCATCGGTTTGTGCAAAGGCATCAACCGCTGGCGCTTGCAGCCCAAGCTGCATTGTCTAGTGCACATAAGTGAAGATCACCGAATTTTTTTAGTGAATGTACGGACGTATCATTGTTTTATTGATGAAGATTTTGTCGGGTTAGTCAAACGACTAGCGCTGAAATGCCATCGCGGTGACTTATTAGAGCTCCGTATCCTTTTGCGGTGGTTGCTGCGAATTGGCAGCTGGATACCCGGTGGAGCTCAATAAACTTAATTATTGCTATATTTAAACACATCATCATAAACAACACGTGTTGCCATAATGATATGGAATCATTGTCCCTTGCCAGCTTCCCGGCCCCCTTTCCAGCCGAGAGTCGCTACCCACGAGGCGATCAGGAAGGAAATCAGCGGGCCGAGTGGTGGGAACATGGCATGATTGATATATATCATGTATTGATCATGGATTATCAAGATCATTTCATGATATCAACATAATATCATATACATATATCTATGAGAATGGCATTCCTCAAATATCATCGAATATCCATAGATTTGTCGGAAAGCCAGCTACTAGAAATGTTAGCAAATTTTGACTACGGATGGTTCTCAGAGCCTACGGAGAGCCCCAGAGGCTACATACACAAATGTATGCAAATAGATCATACTTTGGATCCTCAGGGATATAACATATTATATAATATTATATATAAACCATCTGATATGATATAAACCATCAGTCATATATACCACCAAACCATATATATATATACCATCAAACCATCTCCAGTCATGATAGGATCTGATAAGTTTTTATTTCATGTTTGGGTTTCCCAGAAAGTACCATGGTTCTTCAACCCTTATTGGGGTTACTCGCGGCTGGGATCCAAGCTTCTGCGGCTTCCCCCATCTCGCTGAGCAAGATGGTGGTTCGTTCTTCCAAATTGTCCAGCAAAGGGCACATGCTTTCTGCTGTGTCTACCTTGGCTTGAAACACATTGGAACCACCCACTGCAAGCGGTTAACATGTATTTAACATGTTGAGTATCTAGATGAGAGTCTCAGTGTTGTTCAATCACCTAAACTTGCTGCTCTTGGTCAGAGTAAGTGGCTTGGGTGTCCACCAGCAAGATTCTTCGTGGCTGACCTAGACCTGACATCTTCAGATCTCCGGACGGGCTGCAGTTGGGCACCTTCCCGAGTTTGAAGCCGCCACTGGAGCCACGGTTCCGGACCCAATCTTCATGGATTCGATGGCCTTGGACGGGGCATGGCTAGCCTGGACAGGGAGATTTTTGAGCTCATCATGTTGGTTTACCACACCTTTCCCCACCTTCACTTTGGCAGTTTGACCCATGTCAAGATTCAAAACACCGTGCTAACTTCCAATCTTCTCAAAACTAGGTAGCTAGTTGGCACAAGCAACCAATACTATATATATAATATAATATATAATATATATATAATATATAATATATATATAATATATAATATATACATATATATATATAATATATATATATAATATACATATACACACATGGTTCCCTGCTTCAGGGTCTAGGTCAAACGGTTTGAGACAGGGAAAATCGTCCTACGATTCGTCCAAGGTCTATTCGGATGTGAGGGAACCTGTTCTTCCTCTTATTATGTGGATGAATCTATCCCTATGGGACAGTACAATATCACAAAGGAGTGACTAACCGGAAAATTTCCGGAAAGCAATCCATGGAAATCCCATGGAAATTCAGAAAACATAAGAAAACGTCACCTTTCACGTGCTTTCAAAGTGGCTGAACGCATGGCTGCAATGTCCTTCTGAAGTTCAGAGAGCAAAGCTTTGGAGATGCCATGACCTTCGTGAACGCCGTTCCTCGTTCAGAAGTACAGTACCCTCTAGCAATCAAACTTGGAAACGGACCTCCGCAATTGTTGAGAAAAATAAAATCAAACCATTTAGGACACACACACACAAGAAAATCAAAGAAACTCTGCTATAGACATTTGGAGGATTTCCATTTTCCACTTAGATTATAAGAGAGCATACCAAATGCATCCAACTGCCATCATAAACTTGAATCATCTGGAATCTGACTTGGCGAGATATACGGAACCTCCGATAGGAACGTGTGCAGCAACTGTCGAATCATGCAAACTGGTCCATGTAGCACACTTCTAGAGTAAGTCAGTGTCAACTGCTAGCTTCAACTTTGAAGGTTCATAGATGTTCAGAGATGTTCAAGGCCAAAAGGATTTGGGGGATGTGTAAGGACCTCGGTACCTGCCCTGTACCCCACAGTTCATATCCTTGGTTTCCCTGGACCTACTTGGGGATGCATCCCCCGGCTTTTCGAAAACTGGAAACTGGACGACCTTTTTTGACAAAGCCGGCGGTTTCAACGAAAAATATGAGTTAGTCACTTAGGATCATCATCCGAAAATAGATGAAATTACTGTATGTATATTATGATTATTATTATAGATAGCAACCCAAAAAAAAAGTTAGAAAGGGAGAATCCTAATGTTGGATGGACAATAGTAAAGCGCGTGCAATAGCTACAAATAATTTTCAGAATCTGATTTTTCAGTCGCTATTGATTTTAAATTAGGCCTTATTGATTTAAAATTACAAACATCAACCTTGGTCCAGAGCATCTGCAATAAATGTGGTTCATTCGCAATAGCTACAAACAATTTTCAGAAAATTCCCAAATTATCAGATTTTCCAATACTAAATTGTAAAGGAGCTAATTGAGATTTAGTATGGATGCAGGAAAAAATCAGAACCAGTTACAGTTCAGCTATATTTTTCCCCTTCTTCCTTAATGTTTTTAATTGTGGTTGAATGGTTTTTAATTGTGATTGCATGTTTTTCAAAAGCAAAAACAAAGCAAACCTTTACCAAATCAAAAACTTTTCCTTGTTCAAAAAAGCTGTGTTCTTTATTAAAATCCTTTTAAAAAATTGCAAAAACAGGGCCACAAAGGGTACCCCCTTGCAGGTCCTTGCATTTGCAATTAAAAGCTGGAATTAGCACTTGCAATAAGAAACAACCTTCCTGGCTCTAGCAGGCATTTTTTTCCCTTCTTCCTTAGTGTTTTTTAATTGTGGCTGAATGGTTTTTAATTGTGATTGCATGTTTTTCAAAAGCAAAAACAAAGCAAACCTTTACCAAATCAAAAACTTTACCTTGTTCAAAAAAGCTGTGTTCTTTATTAAAATCCTTTTAAAAAATTGCAAAAACAGGGCCACAAAGGGTACCCCCTTGCAGGTCCTTGCGTTTGCAATTAAAAACTGGAATTAGCTTAGCACTTGCAATAAGAAACGACCTTCCTGGCTCTAGCAGGCATTTTTTTCCCTTCTTCCTATCAGAATCCAATGAAGATCCCATCAGAGCCCATCAGAAAAGAGAGGATTTGTCAAAACCTTACAGAAGCCTTTGGGGAAGAGTTGCGATTTCCGATTTACTATTGCAAAGCAGACCCCCCCTCCCCCCCAAAAAAAAATTAGGGGGGACCCCCCCTTTACTATTGTCGATGTAACATTACTAAGATAGTGATGAATTAATTACTGTACTGTGCCTATTCATACCTTTTCTATCTTTTTGGTGGGTACCAGTACTATAGTGCCGAACAAACAACATGTCAACCGCTTGCCCTCATTGCCCGAGGCTCAAATCTTCTGCAATCTGCTCCAAGTGAAGCGTGTGCGACAGCCCAGTGGCACGCAAATTGTTTAGAAGATCTGTGCAAACCTTGGGACACCAAGCGAAAGGTGGCACTGTTGAATCTGTTGATCTCCCTTTTTTTTCACCGCCCTGGGCACCATCCGGATACCGATGAACCACAGACTTTCAACGAATGACAGCGACATGGGCAGCGGTTGGATGAGTTGGATGACTCGGCATAACTCGGCTGAACCAAGAAGCTGTGATGGACTCAGCGATCTGGCCGATTTCCAGATTGATGCCTTGAACAAAAGAAAGTGCATTGCGAAGAAATGATATTTCGAAAGTGTTTAAACCTCAGACAAAAGTGTTTATCAAACACCATATATCAATAATGGAGTGCTTAAACACTGTTCGAAGAAACTCCATATATCAATCAAAAACGTTTAAACCCCGGACACAGTGAGGTCGGCATGCTCTGGGCCAACCCTGGCTACATGTCCTTTTGAGTCATGTGAGCCATGCCCAAAATCCTTGTCCTTTTCTTGCACTGGTTGCTTTCTAAGGGATAGGAAATTGTCTGGAAATCAGGTACCCCGTACGGGAAGCGTACCCCCATTGCTTTAATGAACCGTTTCCAGACACACCAAGCAGGTCAAACCAAGCACCAAACCATTTTCCCCGTTGATTCCCATGTATTATGGCTAGATAACCCCATTGATCAACAGGCACATCGGCATGGTGGGAGACCGGAGCTCCAACAGATGAAACAAACTGGAGAAACACATAGCATGGTCTGTTTATCGCAAACAGTTGACTTTTTTGGGGTTCTAGGTTTTCCTTATCATGCAATAATATCTATCAGAAATGTGCATGCATCTCTCAGTTTGGTAAAGCAAAGAACAACTAATTGCGAAACAATCATACCAGAAAAAACATGAAAAAAACACAGGTATATAGTTGTTCAATGAACACAGGTATACTGTGCATCATTATGACAGTATACACAGGTGAACAAAGTTCAGCAAGATACTGTCATTGTTTGAGAGCTCGTGCAACTGCGCCGCCAGTTGGCATGCTTCATCCAGCATCTGATCGGGGCCAGTTTCGTCGCCCTCCATGTGTTGCATGCGTTTTTCAACGGCAAGTAGTTTCTGCTCGATGGCATTCTCCTTCAGATTTCCTGGAGAGAACAAAAAAACAGATTTTTCCACCACTGGGTAAAAGGGAAAAAACGAGAGGAAGACAGGGTTTCGAAGAAAAAACGGGAATTCCTGCCAATCCAAACGACCACTGTAGCTATATTATATATATGGCTGTGTTATGAGTCATTTTTTTGCTGGTTTGCACGAACGATTACCCTCTGGTACTCTAACATAACTACGGGAAATGGCAACCGTGGAACGAAGGGAACCATAAACCTCATCTCTCTGGTTGTCAAACTCGCCTTGATTGTTGGTTGACTTTGGTTGGCTCCCCAATTGAACCATAAAACACGAGCCTATCTCATGCCATTACCACCTGGTTATTTAACATAGCCATGGAAAATGACCCATTTATAGATGATTTTCCCAGCTAGAAACCTCCATTTAGTTCAGGGATTTTCCATGGCGAACTGTTAGTCATAACCAAATGGTCATATATACTTATATCCCATTAATCACCATTAACTATCATTATTGACCACTATTAAATCCCATTAATCACCATTAATTCCCATTAAGTATACAGTTTGGTTGTCCCGGTGTCCCTATGTGTTCCTGTGAAAAAAATGGTGATGATTGGTCTCCATCCCGCTTTGAGTTTGTAGTAGTTAGAGTTAAATTAATCTCTTGGATGGTTGAAGTAGCCACTATTGAGTCACTATTGATTGTTGATGGTTCAGGATCCATACCAAAATACCATACAGTAGTATACAGTAGTCACTTCCTCATATCGTTGTAGAATGAATCCACAACAGTGTTTTTTAGCACTAAACTCCCGTTTCTGGGTCAAACGTCCCAGATCCAAACCTCATTTTACAGCTGCTAAAAATCATGTTTATCACACCCTAAACCTTCAAAAATCATGTGGTGTATTTTCGGCTTTACCAAGAAGAATACGAAAAAACGCTGGGGATCATCTTGATGTTTCGGGGGGGAATCTTAATGAACCACCCTTAAACGCTCGAAAAACGGACAGTGGACCCACGGCTTTTCCCCTTGCGTTTTTATGGGCACCACTTGTGCCGGTGACCCATTGGGTGTGTTTTTCTGCACCTGTGGTGCTTCAAAAAGGGACCCAAAAATGTGATGCCTAAGTCACTCCTTTTGCTTCCTCTGCTTGTGAATGCATCCAGAGGTTTTAAATATTTTACCATTTTTCCATAGAATTTCCCTTCCATTTTACTAAACTCAAAAACTCGAAGTCGACGCCCAGCTGCGAATGAAGCGCGATGCCTTGGAAGTACGTCTGGAGGCCAGAACAGCACATCCTCAGACGATGGCAAAAACACAACTTGTTCCAGAGATTTATACGTTCCTTAAATTCATGGGGATATATGTATATATATATATATGAATTTATAGGCTTTAAGGATATTTAAGGTAACTTTTTTTTGATATTTTTTTGGGCAGTTTTGAAATGGTGATTTCGTTTTGGCATGTGCAGCCTTGAAAGCAATCTACCTCATGGGGAACATCCAAGGACTCACCACTGGACTCAGGGCCCACGTTTGGAAGACCCTGCAGTGATCTTGAGTGATTTATCTTGGTGACCACGATACCTTTGGACTCAGTTTTTAAAATGTGAGTTTTCCAAAACCAAGGACAATGATGAAACATGATGAAACATTACCATCCCTTCTCTATGTTTATTTATGTTTATTGAAATCATGTGCAAGTCTCACTGCTTGGACGTACCCTATTCCCGCCAAAAGACATAGCAGTGGTTGAAGGCTGGTTGTTGTCATGTCCCAAAAACATATGTCTTGGGAGAGAAATGCCAACAACAATTCCTTGTAACTGCAGGATACTGCGGGCAACAGCGACATGGATCAAAAATCTACCCGCAAAAATGATTGTTATTGTATCTGTTGTAATTTTGAAAAATGACAAATAGCGGCGCCCTCGATGACAAGTATCTCAAGCCAAGTCGATCCCCTGGTTGCCGCTCCTCCTGCTTCTCCGACAAATACGCACGCGCTGTGCTCAGCACTTGCCGTTTAAATGCCAGGGAGAGCGGCTCATTGTGGGTCAGAGGGAAGGTACCTCAAAGAAACTCAGAAAATTTCAGCAAGTCATGCATCATTTGTTCTGTCATTCCATGAAATACCGGCTGGGTAAGAACGGAATTCTGAGATCATGGGCTATGATCATCTTCAACACACACACAAACTTGCAAATATATGCATATATATAGATATAAATATAAATGTATGTTGAATACATATTTATATATATGGTATCCCCCCCGGTACCTATGTTTTAGTCTCATCGCATTGTCATCACATATAACCGTCTACAACTTTGATCATTGTTGATTCCACTACATCTGGATATGCTGCATACCCAGGCTTCTGGATGGGATTCTTCCAGCAAATACCAATAAATACCAACCTACAACAAGAAAATATCACTATTATTGGTACAATATCTACTGTACTTATCTGTACTTGGCAATGATACTTCCAATAAGTACCAAGTGTCATACCGTAGATAAACATAACATTGCCAAGTGTCATTCCTCTTGGCAACTGATATCCTTTTGGCAATAAACATAGATAATTAATTGCAAGGATAACTATGGTAACATATTAGAGTAGCATATCATTGACAAAAAGTGCAAGCACTGCACTTTCTTGCGCTGGATTCAGCTTGCCACCCATGGCCTCTTCACGCTTGATCTCTTCCGACGACTGCTCTGCGGCAGAATCCTGAGGAAGGTCTGCCTCAAAGGTATTCATTGCAAACGCCAAAACGAGAATCCGGAAATGTCTCATAATTCCGCACAATTTATAATATTTCGCAGGTCGTCGCTTAATTCGAATAATTTTACCGGTGAAATAGTGACGTCGTCTGAATTAATAAATTATTTTACGTCGGCCAATACGCCAACAGGACCTGATTTGATTTCTTAATTTGCTGCATCGGTTCTGTATAACACCAGAAAAATAGCTATTTGTACCCCAGCAAGGCTGCTAGGTCCTTTCCCCTATTTTGTAAAACTAGGAATTCTAAGCCCATGACTCCCTCAATGGATGGTTGTAGATTTTTTTGGGCTTAGGGAGACTTAAAAACATCATAAACATAGTTATGTGTACCCCAGCAAGGCTGCAAGGTCCTTTTCAGCGCGTTCAGAAGCAAGTTCCCTATTTTTCCAACTTTAGTATGGGCAGCTACGGCCCATTCAGAATGCACTCTCTGCAAAATGTAAGATCTAACAACTAAGATTCCCCCAGGACCCCTGAGCAAATCTTAGATTTTCCTGACCAAAATCTAAGATCTAAGATCTAAGATTCCCTAAAGACTCCTGAACAAATCTTAGATCTTAGATTAAAATCTAAGATTCCCCAAAGACTCCTGAGCAAACCTTAGATCTTAGATCTTAGATCAGGGAAAGGGTGCATTCTGAACGCATTCCTGCATTTACGTTGTCATATCTTTCGGACTGTGTGCCTTACTTCCTTTCTCGCTTCTCCAGTGCCGCTTTTTGCTTTCAGCAACCAACGCATCCACTCCTTCCTCTCTTTCTATCATTAGCCCAACTTTAGCTGAAGGGCCACTGACTATCGAATTGTCAAAAACGCGCTAGTATTGCTCGTGTCTTCCACCCAGCAATAGTGCATATTAAGTTGCAGCGTTGGCTGTCCTTCGAGTTAACTATGTGAGACTTGAGATTTTCAAGTCTGAACCCTTTTCAGACTTGAGATTCTCATGTCTGGATCTTGCCAGGCTTGAATCAGCACATCTCCAGAAATGTCGTGCAAACAGCCTTGCGTGACCCTTCTGACATTTGCTTCTATCTTAGAGCTGCGCCTAGCCATGTTTGCTCACAGCAGCAGCATCTTGATCTGCACTCTACTTTGAAATCATGGCAATTCGCGTGTTGGGTAGCGTCTCCGTGGAAAGAAATCAGGCTGTAGTGGTGTTGGAAGTGGCTGGGGGCGAAGTGGATCGGCTGCTCGACCAGTGCCACCACTGCAAGCATTCGTGGCAAAAGTTTCCCATCCACGAATCCCGACGACCAGTCCTTGTCGCCGCAATGATCTGCAATGTGCAACGTGGCCTGCGGCTTGGCCGGGGCCTTTTTGTGGCCTGGTCCGGTGCTGCAGAGCAACAAGTACTGCACTCACTGCAACGACCGAAATTGGTACGATCAAAGCAGGCAGCGCCATTGGCTTTGGCATCCCCTCCGCCAGCCACTTGGTTGCATGCAAGTAGATTGTTTTTGATCAATACAGTTCCTAGACTGGTTCATGCAGTCTGTGTCATCCCTTTGGAGGATGCACCACCGACAGCACCTGTATCTTGGTAGAAGAGGTACATGGCTGTGTGGAAACAACACCCTCACATGTCTTCGCCCCAAGCATGGGGGGTTAACATGACTGACTACCTCACAAAGCTGTACTTCGAGTACAATTTTTCCATGCAGCATATGACATCCCATGCCCCGGATATCTAAGGTGCTGGCTTCGAGGGATGCTGCAGTCAATTCGTCATCCGCGTCGATGTCGAGTTCTTCGGATTCTTCGAGCTACTCCTCATCTGACTCTGAAGGTGCAGCAGTGGAGGAAGCGCAAGGGGTCCCCACTCCACCCTTGGGGGTCCAGCAAGACGATGGAAGTGATGGCGATTGCATCCCCAGCCCGGCGTTGAACGTGGGTCCGCCTTCGCCTGGTGCTGATTCTGATATGGAACACCAACCTTAAAGGTTCCGCGCTGCTCCTTGTGCTATCACTTCGATCAGCTCCTGGAACAGCATTTTTTGGACTTGTTGACTTGAAGTCGGGGATTCTGCTAGCATTCTCATTGCAATCTTCAGCATCACGCAAACATCACATCTTTATGCTTTTCTTTGTTTCCAGCGTGCTTCCCTCACCGCAGTGTGCATCTTCACTAGTCTGTCTGATTCCCACGAACCTGTCATTGCCATGGCGCACGACCTCCTGGACAGAGCAATGGCCATGTATGGTGGAAAGTCCTGGGCCCTGCATGCCCCAGAGTCCCCTACTTCTGGCTCCAAGACTGAGGAGACGATCGAGGATGCACTACCTCTACCACACTCAGATGTCTGTCCCTGACTTGGGGCCTCTCAATCAGGTGGCGGATGCTGTTGCCAACAATGACACAGCCGCATTGCCAGAATCTATCCGTCCTCCTCGTGATCTACCAGATGGATGCCGCTTGGGTCTGCTGGCTGGCAACATGGATGGCGGCACTTTGCAAATCCTGAAGATCCTGAACTTTCGGGAGAGGATTCATGCAAAGGATGCTGGAAACTATTGTGCAGGTACCCCTTATGCTCTTGTCTTTCGACCAGGCCCTTGGCAAGTGAAGAAGGCGTTGCTCCCTTTGATCGAACGGCTGCCTGGTTTCCATGTGTCTTTGTTTGCCCTTGACAAGGTCACCGACAAATTCGTGGCTCCTCGGCGATCTCATTCTTCCCAGTGGGCACCTGCAGATGAGGAACTTCTGGCCGGGATCCAATACATCAACGAGAACGTGCCCGAATGCGAATCTCAGAACCAGCAATAATATTGGATTCTTTGCAATATCAAAGAAGATTGCGGTTCTCCTATCCGTGGCTGGCCTGAGGCCAAGGTGCGCGTCATGGCCCAGAACAGGCCGGTGCGCAGTTAGAAACGGACTTTCCCCTTCATACGTACTCTCTCAAGCCAGCCCTTGCCAATGAGCTGATGCCCTTGCTGTATCCACTCTTCATGAACTTTGCCTTCATGTTCTTGGGGTGGCCGGATGTTGGAAAAATGCCTGGTATCATCATTATGAGTATGCTTGCCATGGGCCGCTATCATGCATCACGTTTGAATCTTCCTACACCGCCTGGGTGGCGACGGGCCAAGTCCTTGGACAATTTCCGGCACAGGGCGGGAAATATCCATGAAGGAGTTTTCCTTGATCACCCCAGCCGAGAAAAGATTGACTTGGCTGACTTGAAATCCTTTGTGACAACAGAGGAAAGCCAAATGTGCCATGGCCGGTACAATGATGTGAAACTAGCTAAGAATTGCTGCCGAGAATATGCTGCCAATGACATCCAGGGGGAGGACGGGCCCAAAGATGACACGCGAACGTGCATTACTATGGAAGAGTTCTTAACACTGCTTCGTCGAACTTTTCCTGGAGACAGGCCGGCAGACATTTTCGCCGTGCTGAAGCGAACTGTTGTCTTCGTCTTTGGCAAGTATGCTCTCTACCTCCGTCTTCGCAGTGAACAAGATGATGCCCCAATTTCATCGAATCAAGATGGACAACATTCATCAAGATCTCCTTGCCGATTGCCACAAACTGTCCTATGGCAAATATAAAAGCGGCCTGATGGAGAGACCCCCTGGCTATGAAGGTGCTATTGAGAAGGAGCAGGACATGATCTCCAGCAGCATGACCACATACGTGGACTGCACAGGACTATGTGAAACATGCCAATGCCGAGCTGTACGATCTCCTGTTGTACAAACAACCAACCCCTGAAAAAGCATGGTTGCCATCTTCCCCGGAGCATTCTAGCCTGGAAAGACCAGCTCCCATCTACCAGGTTCCTTTTCCGGGCACGGTGCCAAAAAGAATCGGCAAGTTTCTCTATCCACCAAAGGGACGATTGCGAAGCAAGACCTCTGATGATGGCCAAGCCTCCTCTTCAGTGCCTGCGGCTGCTGCGGTATCGCCATTAGCTCTTGCCCAAGATGCCGAAACAGACCTGCTTGCAAGAGAAGATCTCGGTGGTATCGTTGCTGAAGATTTCGGTGCTGATGAATAGGCAGCTACATTCATCATTCATGAACTCTTAGGGCAGTGTTCAGTACAGGCCTCACTGCTCAGCATACATCTATCCTGGTCTCAACACAGTGATTTGGGATTGTGTTTGTATACAGGTAGCAACTATAGATGCCATGTGATGCCACGGAAAGAGCTGCACATGCTTCAACTTTCTTGCTATGTTGTGTCGATTGAAAGCACATATATTTTGCGAACAAAACTACTTTGTCCTTGCATCACTGCAAGAACTGCGGAGTCATGACTGACATTGATTCTGTAGCTCCAATCCAAACTATCATATTTGCTGTGTGGTTGACAACTCCGTTGTTTGCTGTGCTCAGCTGTGCATGCTTTACATTACTTTGGGCCTGTCTGTAGCTTTGTGGTGCAATCGGTCTAGCATCTATCGTCAATGGATCTCCTCACTTGTCCCATGGCACCCAAGTTCAACCCACGCGTGCCCAAGCGTGGAGTTTTGCGGTCCATTCAAAAAAGGCCAGCCTCCAAGAAGAATCTTGCATGGCGTCAGACAGATTACGTCCGGGATCCTGAGGCTGTGCCGACCATTTGGAATGACCGCAACAAATGGAAGAGATCTGTGGCCGACATCTTGCAGAGTACTCCGTCAACATTGGTGCCCATGCTTCGGGCAGATGGACTTCTACCTGATTGGGAAGGGGGTCAGTGTCCTCGATGTCATCGTGGCAATTTGAAAAAGGCAGCCTCTCAAAAGCGTGGTGGCCTGCCAAAGCACCGATGCAGCGCTCACAAGTGCCAAGCCTACATCAATCCACACCATGCTCATCCCCTCTTCGTCGAAGGCACACTCCTTTGGCAACCCAGGCTGCTCTGCTCCTGCTTCTTCTCAATCGTGTTTCGCATGTTGCTGCTCATCGCCTTCTACATCTCAATCACAAAGCCATTGAAGATATGGGCAAACGCGTTTGCCAATTGCGTGAAGCCTGGGTGGTGGAGCACGAAAAATCCATTCGCTTTGGCACAGGACAAAAATGGCTAGATGTGGAAGCCGATGAGGCCACCTTTGACAAGAAGGTGGTCAACAAGCAACTGCAGTGGGAGCAGTGGTGCGGCCTGGTACAACGGGGAGGCCTGACACCTTGGTACTGCACCGTTTGCGTCCATTACCGGCCAAGCTTCGAGCACCAGGCCCAGGTGCTGTGCGCAAGGTGGAATGGATGCTCATCGCCAAAAAATGGCTGCAGAACCGGAACATGATCCTTCACACAGACTTAGCTTAAAGTTACCGCGCTGCTGTGCCTGGCGTACTTCATGACAGAGTTGTCCACAAGAAGCAGCGCATCAAGCTTGGCGGAAAGTTCAAGTGGATTGCGCCAAAGCACGCTGAACTCAAACATCATCGTCTTCCTGGTTCCAACAAGGTCATTAAGGCAAAGTCTGGGACGCAGATCATTGACTGTGTTTAGCGCTGGATCAAAGACAGGTTGACAATCAACCAAGCCTGCTGTGTTGGTAGCAAGCTTTTGCACATGAAATTGTGCTCCGCCCAGTACGAGTACTGGAATGAGGGTCAGGACCTGTGGGCCCCAGTCGGGAATCTTGGTCCAATGGTTCATGTCCAGCACTGTGAAGTCTGGCGAGAGATTTTCTGTCACGCTCGCAAGGGGAAAAACTTCGTATCTGTATCCTGAAATCAATATGGGTCAGTCCTGTCCAGCTAACATTCATTACTCAATCATCTTTCAATGTTGTCACCAGGTTCATAGTTTCCTGGGACGTGCGGATCCTCGCACTCTCTATCTTTCATCCCTTGTCTCTTCAACTACCTGCTACTTTGGACAAACTGCATTCTTCGCACACATGCACGGCTTCTCTGACACTATGTATGTCTTCATGTCCTGCACTGCTTTCCGCCTTGAACATTCTCATTGTTCTTCCTGGCTACAAAATCGTTTGTGCATTTGTACATCCAATGAAAGAAAATAACGCAAGGCTAAAATATAGGTACCGGGGGGGTTAGCATATATTATATATATATGAAATGGATATTTGTGAAAGGTATTATGACCCCCGAACTAACCACTAACCAACATGGGTTCAGCCGCCACTGCTAAGATTCCCTGCAGGAGTTTGCGCTCCTGCAGCCAGCTTACGGCGCACACAATCTTTGGTTGGTGGTTCCCAAACTGGGTGAAATCAATACATGCTTGAAATCACAAACGGAAAAAAATCACTAGTTCCAGTTCTAGACTTCCCAGGTTTCGTTGTAATTATCCATACTGTTTGTTTTCTTGGTGAAATATCTGCATTTCTGCAGGTTGCATCCCAATCACAGCAAATCAAGTTCTATTGTTATAGGCAAAAACCTTCCACCAAAAAGAAACAATGCAACCCCATGACGATAGTTTCCGCTACGTAGGTCTTACAACTCATCGCAAGATCCTTCTTAACTTCTGTGCCAATTTTTCAGGGCAGAAACTTCAAAGAACCTCCGCACTGCTGACCACCACCGATGGCCAAACAAGATGCGGGATGTCTTCGGCGCAGGTGATGGTGATGCTTTTGCTCGGGGCCTGGGGGGCCTAAGTGCGAAGCACATCAGCGAACATGTGGCACTACAGTGAGTACACCTACATTAACTCAGGAACTGGTTGGTGGTTGACCTACCCCTCTGAAAAATATGAGTTCGTCAGTTCGGATGATTATCCCATATATTATGAAAAATAAAACAATGTTTGAAACCACCAACCAGGTAAAATATTCTATGGAATCCTCCAAAACATCTTGGCTTGAACGATGTTCACTTTGAAAAGCAGGGAAACCAGGCTACACTTTTCAGCAAGGGGATGCCTAAGAGTTGCATGAAAACCAGGATGGTGTCCGGATGGTTTACATATGGTAACATTCATTGGAATGGTTCATGATGCAAACTCATTCAATTACATTATCTTATTGT